GCTTGCTCGTGGGGACCCGGAAAGAATCTCATGTCGTTGATGGGCGCGGCATCGTTTCCGTCCTAGCTTTGACTCGTTTCTCCAATTGCTGCTCGCTTCTGTCCCAGCTTTCGGTAGGCCTGGAGCGTTCTCATCCTAGTTTGCGTCTTGTTCCGGTCCTAGTTTTGGTTCTAGTTCTTCGGTCGTTCTCGGCCTGTCCCACAAACCTGCGTGATTTTCTACCTCCCAGAACCGACCAGGTTCAAACAGCATCAACCCAGTCCTTCAGACCACTCGGGTGGTGCACCTACCCCCAAAATGGGATCCCGTTGGCTTTGACCCACAGCCACATCGCTTCTCCGCGGCTTTCCCCGCGGTTTCCCCGAGGAGCCACAGCTTGGCGGTGCCGTCCTGCAGCGTGGACAACGCCAGGTTCTTCTCCTCCGTGCTGAACACGGCCACGATGACCTCCCCTCGCGACTCGCGACTCACGACTGGCGAGTCGAAGGCGTCACCAGGTGGAAACTGATGGCAATGGGCATCTCTTTCATATGGATATGTTGTTTTTTGTCGGGGACTCCCTCTTTTGCGGTTTGAAAGTAACACCAGAATGAAGACCACGATGAGTTTTGGAGGGAGATTCCCCAAAAAAGCCAGACACATATATCCACTAGGGAGCGCCAGTACAAGTCAATCCAGGGGATAGCCCGACATGTCAGACTCGCCGCATGTGGTCAAATGGCTTTCCGACTTTGCAGAGGGTAAATGGGAAACCCCTCCGAAACCACCCGAACCACCAATCCAAACCACCAATCAGAAGGAAGCTGACAGATGGTACTCCGGAGTGAAGACCTTCAGCCCAAAGGAAGCTTGACCACAACTCAGCAAACAGCCATGAAATAAAAGCTTATGCAGGGCAGTTATTCTTACATGGGTCTCTCTTGACATTGGAGACTCCCCCTCCTCTTGGGTTGGTGTTGAAGAGAAACAGTGCATGGCAAGAACCACACGCGACTCTGTTTCTCTGTCCTTAAAAAAAACAACTGGCAATCCTTGAGTCTTCGAGAGTGCACGTCCCATTCAATTGAACATGTTGAAACATCCAAGCATGTTGCCGTTTTCGACAGTCCACAACTTGACTCGAGCCTTGGACGCAAATGAGCCCTTTTCAACATCAGTAGTAGAGGAGAAAGGACATTCACTTGATTTTAGGGCGCTTGCTATCCGACACTACAAGTCGTCACCTTTACAGACAGTAGACAGCCACTACTTTTCGCATGGACACACATGTTCACCCCCACTTTTTGGTGTATCAGGAACCTCCTGCTCCAAAGCCGTTCCGCAACCTCCAGGCAAAGCCCTTCCGCAACCAGGCATCCTCGTGAGACATTTCGCCCACCCCCCAGCCCCTCCGCACCACGCCCGGTTGATCGGACCGCCTCGAGGCCTCGTCAGAGTCCGCGTGCACTCGGCAGTATGGATGTCCCAAACCTGCGCGCAAAGGCCAAGGAAAGGGCCCGGAGGGAGCCGCGACTCAAAAAGCCCAGGTGTTGGGATCTGTCCAAAAATGTGGATTGAACTTCTGGGTTTAAGCATCAGGAACCACTCGGCATGAGATCAGAAAGTGATTTCTTAACCTGGGGGGTTAAGAATACAGGAAAGTCTTGACAGAGACGTGTGGACAATGAACCGCAAAGTGCCCGGAGAGGGGCGGGTATTACAAGGGAAACCAATACATTTTGGGAGGTCCCTATTTTGAGACAAACCTACATTCAAATGCGCCTTGACCACCTAGGGGCCACCTTTAGTGGGATTCTTTCTCATCCCGGCCTTGGCGGTTCGATCGACTGACGCAGTCAAAACGGACTTGCTGCTTTTGGCAAAGATGGCAGACACTACTCCATCGTTATGACCGGCAAAGGTCTTGATACACTCTCCTGTGAGAGAATACCATAGTCTTGCAGTGCCGTCCTTAGCTTGCAACCCAACCCAAGTTCCCAACACAAGCTCAGAACAAATCATGACCTTTGGGGAGCTGATGCCACTGTCGATGCTTTGGCCAAACTGAACCTAATGGTATCCTGTACCCATCTATGTCCAGCCAACCTGACCAAAACTTTCACGTATCTGGTGATTTGCAATTCATCGAGCAAAGGGGATGCTTCTCAAGATTGGGGACCCTTTTAGGTGCATAGTCTCCTTGTCTTTTCCCTTTAAACCACCGAAAGGACGTCCCTATTTTGAAAAACGCCCAAAGGGAGTCCTCATCCCGCACTCCGTTCAGCGCCAAAAAATTGCACCAAGCCGCATAAGATGCAGTAAGCACCATGGAGCCATCATCGGAAAAAACCGCCGTGTAGACTGCGTTGGAGTGGCCCCGGAAGACTTCCACCTAGCCGCGTGCCACGGTGTTTTTTTCTCAACGCCGCTCACGCAAACAACCAGACACGGCCTTGTAGTGAACCCCGAAGTTTTTGTGGGTTCCCTTTGAAGTGTTAAAAAAAACAAAAAACAAAAGGTGTGATTCAAACAGCCCGCTCCGGTCAAATTTTTCTTCCAGAAACTGCGGTCCACAGAACGTGCTGCAAAAGGGCACTGCAAGGCGAGTGCTAGATCCAAGCGGCATACTCGCCCGTGAGAATATTCCAGATCTTTGCCGTGCAGTCACGGGCTGCTGTAAGAAGCGTGCATCCGTCAGCCGAGAAACTTGCGTACCTGGGTCGCAGACTTCAAGGCTGGCCGCTGGACTAGTGAACTGAAGACTTGTGTGGCTAGCTGTTTCTAGACTACGGCATCAGTGTCTACAATTCAGAGGCAGCAACCCCACACCCTCTCTCTTCAAACCCACCCCTTTAGGGATAATAAAAACAACCCACCACCAAGAACCAGAAAATATGCCCCTCCCTCCTCCCCCACCTCCACCCACCTCCCGCCTCCCCTTCCTTTCTGGTTCCCCCCTTTCCCCTCGCTCGCCTGACGCCATTCTGGTGCCCCCCGAGGGATTGGATCACCTCCCCGTTGGCGTCCCAGATCTTGATCCCGCCGTCCACGGAGGTGGTGGCCACCCAGAGCACGTCCTGCACGATGAGCGTCAGGCTCAGCTCCTTTGTGAAGCCCAGGTCCTGCGGAAAAACGCGGAAACCGGTTCGCGGCAGGCGGTGGCCGGATGGATCCAACCTCCAAAAGGGGGGGGGGGAAGGGGGGGAGGCGGGGGAGGGGGGGGAAGGGGAAGGCTGGCGTTTTCTGTTCTTTCAGAGGCCAAGAAAGCAACACACCTCTCATGCTGGATCAGAATATGCTTTCCTTTCTTCAAGAAAGCAACAGAAAAAGGAGCCAGCCTTTTCAGCTCCCGGAGTTGAGTTCTAAGCTCCTTGAAACTTAATCGAATTCGACCAAGGCCCTTTGACAGGAACTTTCATAACAAAAGGTCGCAGACCCGATCTGGGACTCTTTTGAGGCTACCATTTCTATGGTTCTTTGAAAGGGAAACCACGAATCACGGGGTTTACCTCTGTTGTTGTTGTTTTTTTTTGTTATTTTTTAACCTTTATTGTTCTTTTCTTGTCTTTTCTTGTTTTTCTTGTTGTTTTTTTCTCCGGGGGAGGGGGGAGGGTGGGGTGGGAGTCGCTTCTGTTTTCTGCGCATCTCGGTCCTGCAGTCGCCGTCGGGGATCCAAGACCTCGCTCTCATGCAGCAGGCGCTGCCGATACGCCGGCGCACCAGTAAGTCGGTAGATCTCCTGCTGGATGTCCTACGGAGTCATAACCCAAATCGCCTTCAAACTTCCAGGCCTCCCACTTGGCTCTTCCCTCGAACTGGAGCTTTGGATTGGTGAAGGGGTGGTTTCCCATGGAGAGAAAAAAGCGTTGAAACCCACGGAGGCCGCGGGAGGCCTCCGCGGCCTCCCGAACTTTGGCTTAAGTAGAAAGCCCTTGGAAGCGAAGCCTCCCGCCAAAAAGATAGCTTTGAATGCTTGCCCCACATACCTTTGCTGTCGTTTGCCCGGTGGTTGCTCCCTTCAAGACTAACCTTGAGGCGACCAGGCCAACACACGGGTCCTGTGCGGACTGCGACGGGTCCAGTTCGAAGGTGGCGATCTCACTACCACTGGTGGCATAGTGTACCTTGGTGCGCGAAGGATTCCCAAGGTTCACCCAAATGAATCCAGCCCCATTTGAGATGGAATGCGAGTGGCACACATTTGTTCCAAGTTTCGACCTTCAGGTTGGAGAGAACAATCCAAACACTGATACATTCTTCAGAGGCATTTCGTGGTGCTTCATGATTTGCCGCCGTCACACCTGTTTTGCATCCAAGCGGCGACAACCTGAATGCTATTGTTCCATGGCATCTCCCTAAATACAGCCTATAGTAGCGGAAGCACATGCAAACCACTTGCCCAAGCTCTTTACGTCAACGCGAGTCGAGCACGTGTCTCTCAACACGTGGACCGGGAACTCTCGCATGTGAAAGAGATTGCAATACAGTTGGCCGGCATCAATTGAGACATACCCATCCAATATGCATTGTCGTCTTGGCACTATTCCGGGACAAATGCTTGAATGCTGCCGCAAAGCATCATTCTTACGAGGCATCATGGCTTGTAGCTGCCCGGCGTCCCAACTAATGGTTGGCTGCTGCGAGGGACTTTCCACAGTTGTGTTCGGATTTATGGTTTACCTTTATGTTTCCCCACGTCCTTGTAGGACCAAGGTGACTTGAATGGGAGGCAGGCAGGCAGGCAGGCAGGCAGGCAGGCAGGCAGGCAGGCAGGCAGGCAGGCAGGCAGGCAGGCAGGCAGGCAGGCAGGAAGAAATGAAGGAAAGGAAGGAAAGGAAGGGAGGGAGGGAAGGAAGGAAGGAAGGAAAGGAAGGAAGGAAGGAAAGGAAGGAAAGGAAAGGAAGGAAGGAAAGGGAAGGAAGGAAAGGAAAGGAAGGAAAGGAAAGGAAGCTGCAGTGCTGCGCTGAACGAATGGTTCCGCAGGCTCAGGTTTCGCCGCTCCCGAAACGGGCCCTCGAGGCCTCCAGGTTTCGCTCCCGGAAGCGGGGCACCGTCCAGGGTGGGAACCTCAGCTGATGGGAAACCCTGGCCCCACAACGGCTTGGCTTCGGCCAGGCGAATGAGCCGAATCCATGTTCCAAGGTCTTCGTGGCCAAGGAGGTGTCTAGGGCATGGCCTGCACCTCCCTGTGTTGTGGAAGTATCGCACATCACATGAACACGAGACCTCAATCAAAGTGCATTAAAAAGAAAAGAAAAAACTTCTTTGAGTTCCCTTGGCGTCTGTTCAAGGGACGACGGTTGCATCCATATAAACCATGGTACCTTGGAAGACCTCTGGTGTGCCCCGGGCCAGGGCAGCACTTGGACATGACTGGGCTGTCCGTTTTCAGATCCCCCCGCGAACAGTTTGACGAACTTCCAGTGGGCAAAATTCGGAATCCCGCCACAAAACACGAAAAAGGCCGAAAAAGCTCGGGAACCGGATGCGTGGGAACCAAGATGAGAAAATGGGTGAGAGCCCTGCTTTAGCGGACTTCAGCCATAGAACGGGTCAGAATGACCGAACATCATATGGACCGGAAGTCACGGCAGCCTGGGCAGCCCGGCCAAGCAGCCAAACGCTCGTGCCAAAAAACTCAAAAAAAAAAAAGAAGGAGAAGAGGCCCCTTGGACCATGGAAACCGAGAAAGTTTGATCCCTTCCCCCAAGAATGGTGCTCTTGGTGTTGTTTCCTTCTGACTTCCGACCCACGAACCCATAACTGGCTCGTCCTTGGGGCCCCCTGGCTCGTCCTTGCCGCTGGGGAGATACACCGCAGACACCTGGACGCGCGGCCGGTTTTTTTCAGCCGTCACAGGATGGCCCGTGGCTCTGCGGACGAGACCGGCCGATTCTTTGGTGGTCTTTTCTGGGCTGCCCGTTTTCAGATCCCCCACTAAAAGTTGAACTTTTAGTGGGTTAAATACGGAAACTACCACTAAACACTAAAAAGCTAAAAGGCTAAGGGGATGGCTGGGAGCCACCAAGCTTTGCACAACCCCGCAAAACCAAAAGAGACACCCCCATGTGGGTACGGAATCAAGCAAAGGACGGAAAACCCGCCCATTTCCAGATCACTGCTCCCGGCCTTGCATTCGGCACTGAAGACATTGCCCTGGCAGTGGCAAGACCCTTTGAAACTTGCTCTCATCGAACGCAGAAGAATCTACAGGAAATTTGCCCAACTACCCAAGAAAAAACAGAAACCGATGTCCCGCATCATGTCCTCTAGCTGCTTTGAATGATTTTGAAGCCTCCAGCTCAGGCGCGAACCTCGTATCGGTTCAGTACAAAAGTAGTGCACGCAGTAAACTTGTCCAGCCCCCCGGCTCCGCCTGACATTTCTGGTATGCTAAGCACACTCCGCAAGCTCTGGCTTTAAAAGTAGTTTGCCCACAAGCTTGTTCTGCCAACGGTTGCTCACCACTTGCAGAACTTACGCTTGAGCAGGGTAATTTTGCAGCTCGCTTTTTGTTTTCGTTTGTTGCTTCCTTGCTCGCTCGCTTATTTGCTTGCTTGCTTGCTTGCTTGCTTGCTTGCTTGCTTGCATGCCTGCCTGCCTGCCTGCCTGCCTGCTTGCTTGCTTGCTTGCTTGGCAATTTGCGTATCAGATTGCTTGCCAGGCTTGCTTGCTTTCTTAATTGCTTGGGTTTGATGACGTTCGTTGCTTGCTTGCTTGATTGCTTGCTTGCTTACTCGCTTGTTCGCTTTGCCGGCACCAAGTGAAGCCGAGCAACGCCTGACAGTCGGAGCACGCTGGCCAGCTAACACACACACAAATGCTGGCCAGCTAACACACACACAAATGGATGATATTATGTGTTCATTGCATGTGTGTGTGGTCTTGCCTGCAGCCGATTGATGCAGCAGCCGGACGCCGCGCGAAATTGGAACGGGCTCGTGTTCCGTTTTGCACACGAACCGAAGCAAAACACCGTCAGAAATGAGTCAGCAAGCACTTTGCGTGATAGGCCGCCCAAGGATGTCAACATCCCGCAATTGATATCCAGCTCACGCAGTGCGTCGACCTTGATCGAGTCTGATAGGCGCGCTTTCTCGAAGATGACGCAGCCCCGAGAAAGAAAAGAGCGCAGCATGAGGTGGGGGAGGTGTCAGACTTTAGATGCGCAGTAACCGACCAATTCACGTCACCCAAACCTACATCCGCATAGTTCTGAGCCAAGACTTTGGTCGCAATGATCGTGTCTCCATGCATCCGGATCACACCATCCTCCAGTTTTCTTGAACAAACAAACTCGTTTCATGGCAACACCAGAAACAACCTGTTTTTCCCGGCTACCGTCCTCCAGTTTTCTTGAACGAACAACCTGTTTTGATGGTATCAAAAACTGCCCCCACGCAAGAACACGCTTCTCACGGTGCCTGGCTGTCAAAGCCCGCAAAGTGCACCACCTCCCCCGGCCGCAGCGCAGCCTTCTTGCCCCCTGCGATCCTGTCGCCCGGGACGTTACCCCGGGGTGGTGGACAGACAACGCAAGACCACAAACCAAAAGCAACAAGTGCATGGGGACCCTTTGGTGGACATCATTTTCAGGGAGTCAGAATTGCACCCACCACTTTGGAGACCCGAAAATCCCCTCTCGAAACTCCCTCTTCAAAATCTAGGCCTGACTGTCCTGACTCCAACTCCTCCAACACCTCCAACATCTCAGAAAAATGCCACGGAGTTTCGGCCCCAACACCTCCAATTCCGTCCCTCCGGCCTCGCCGACTTCAGCGGCACCTTGCCCTTCTGCAGCGCCGCCATGGCCGCCGGGTCGCAGCGCAGCAGGGCCTCGGCTCGATCTCCTCCGCTCGTCCGCTCGAGCGACGGATGTTTGTGTGTGGTCGGGGGCACGTCGTAGCTTTCTTCGGGCGTTTCGCTTTAAAGGAAAACAAAAGAAGGACACCGATCATTTGTTTGCTTGAGGGGTGGTTTGTTTATTGGAAATCAAAAGAAAGCTGACATGTTTCGGTTAGAGGGGTGCTATTGGTACCATGTATGGACTTCTTTTAAACTACCAGAGAATGTCTCCTCTTGAATCATAGTAGAGCAAGTGGACCCTCCTCGAAGCCTTCATCTGTGACGCAGCCAACCCCACATGGAGAACCAGGTGCGCGATACACGCCTTCTTTCTGCGGTGTGGTTTGAGGGAATCACAGGTTGCCTGCGGGTCGTTGTGATGGTTTCATGGCGGTTGCGCAAGTTGTTCGCTGAAGTGCCTGGTAATTGGGCTGCTTTGAGGGCGTGTTTGCCCTAGTGTCTTCATTTACACAGCAAGACGAGGGGAGGACAATGGTTTGGATTCAGTAATGTGATCTCATGACCTCTGCTGTGGAGGTCCTTGTTTCACAAGAAATTCAAGCATGAAATATTCCGCTGCTGCCCCTCTTGCAGTGGAAAAACAGAAGAGGGTCCACAGCACAAAGCTCGGCTTTCAATTACACGGATGCCAAGACTCCAAGCGAATGGCGGGGCGCATTCGCGCACGCAGCAGAAAGAGTTGACTCTCCACAGCTTCTCACCCAATTAAATCCAGCCCAAGTCGGTGCTTGCCGCACAGCTCGGGGGCCCGGCAATGTTGTGCTGGGGATGGATGAAGAAGACCTGGCTGCCCCCTGTTTTTGAGGGTCCGTGCTGATTGGTGAGGGGAACCAAGTTTGAGCCTACCCTTTTTGGTGATCCGTTTGGAACTCGATTCAGCACCAAGAACTAAGACCAAAACTGAATGCTGACTCTCCCTGAATGCATCCAAGTAGCCGGACGTCCTTGAGTGCAATGGTGAGCCCAGGTGTGTCCAAACGAATCGAGCCACTTTGGTCAACATCAATCCGGAAATATCCAATTGAAACATCGATATGGGTCATAACCGCACAGCTCACACGCGTCTGTGGTTTCACCAACAGCAAGCGAACCAAAACGTACTGGCCTCACCATCTCCACCTGCAGGCACTATATGTTTGCTCCAAACTAAAAGTTACCGGACGGCATCTTCCTCTCTGTCCCGCTCATTGTCCCTTTTCGAGGTAGCATCACCAAAAGCGTTGTTTCATGTCCCACTCGGAGACAAGCCTAAGCCTCAACCTGGGGTTCTCCTCCATTGGCTCTGAATAGGGAACCCCCGAAAAATGGTTTCCTACCCAAATGATGTCAATGAAGGGTTTGGTTGGGCTTCTGAATCATCCCCTACCGATATGATAAGTCCACCAGGGTTCCCCATAAAAATCCTACCAAACCTATGGAGAAAAGAAAAAAACAACTTCCGGCCTCTGCGTCCACCGTGGCGCAGCCGGCCAGGGTCACCTGACATTCCCACGCTCTAAGAACCACCAGGCGTGCGAAGCTGTGCCCTTTTGGGGGGCAGTTGCTGGATTTGCTCGCCGTGGGCTTGAAGGGCAAAACCACACGAAACATCGCCATGGTTGCAACCCCCCCTACTTTGACACATAAGTAAGCGAACAACGGGGGTCGGGTCGCTGACCACCAAAAAACATCTGGACCGTCCTCCTGCGGGCCCTGGACCACGCAATGGAGACAAGACAACGCCGCTCTTCTTGGGGCAAAAAGCCTATTAGACCTAGGGCTTAGGTCAGCCGATGATACACGCACGAACGCCCACAGCCACACAGCCACACAGCCACACAGCCGCGCCACGCTCGCGCGCGTGCGAGCGTGCGTGGGTGCCTGCGTGCCTGTGCATGCATGAGTGCGATAGAAATTTCATGAAGGCACTAACATGTGCAGATCGCCACCTAGGCACACACGAATTTCACGTCGCACATGTACATGTGCTCGTTCCATTGACGGCATCACCACCTGATTTCACGCCAAGTGACTGGGCGGGGGGGGGGTCCCAAACCAAAGCATGCGGCAAGTAGAAGTCTGCACCAGAAATGAAATGACAGCTCGGTGCTGAGGGTTGATCCATTTGGGCACGTGCGAACCCGCAAGATGCCATCTCTGGATGTCACTTTGCCCGATGCTAGGTCAAAGACATCAGATCGAGTAGAACCTAGGCAGTCAACTTTGTGATCAAACACAGGCAGGCCCGAATGGTTGGCATCCCGAATTGGAAACCAAGGATCAAGGCCCTCTCTTCCCGCCCTCTCCACTCGGTCCCTCGGTGCGCGCCTCGGTAGCTCCCAGAGACTGCGGAGCACTGTGCCGGTCTGTCAGCACTAGACCCCGCTTGGCGTCCACCTCAAAGCGGGCGCAAGGCAGAGACAGCCGCAGAGCTAACTGGCGCTGGGTGCTCCGGTCCTCCGATCCCCGTTTTCACCCAAAAACAAAAAACGAAACAGCGGATCGGTTATTTTTTGACGCCCCACTCCCCAGTTCATCCGAAAGAGGGTCCTGTGCGCACACGGATGGGCACGCTGGAAAGTGCCTGCTGAGGCCCCCCGCCAGCAGCCCCACGCCCTCGGAAGACCCACTCTCCAAGGCCTCAGTGCAGAAGCGCTGGTCCGTGCGGAAGCGGATGGTCACCTTGGTCGTGCCAACACCTCCCCTTTAGGTTGAGCCTGGGTCCCATGGGCTTGATTCGAGTCAATTGGACATGGGTGAAAACCCCGTACCCCCAGTGAACATCCCAATCCCCACTAAAATGGACTAAAATGGGTGGTGCACCTATCCCAAAATGATACCATTGGTTGTGAACCATGGCCAATTGACCTTGGCTTTCCTTTCGGTGCCAGGGTTCATGGCGGATGCTGTCCATGTCGGGTGCTGTGGATCACGAGGACTCGAACATGCAGAGTGAGTTTGGCCACCGTTGTCCTTGTTGTAGATTTGCGTACGGTGCAGGCTTGCTTCCGGTTCAGGTGGATGTTTGGGTGTTCTTGGGCACCGAGTTGGGTTTTGGCAGAGCGAGGAATCCACGCCCAAATAACAAAATCTATTCCCCACATTCCACAGGAGAAAACACACACCAGCACACATACACAGAGAGCACAAACCGAAGACACCGACCCCAACAAAGCCCACATGCAAGCCCAATCCCAAAGCCGACCCTCAAACCCAACCTTCACCCAACTTACCCTCAACTATTCATGATAAACGAAAATGTGAATTCATCCCATGCAGCGCAAAAGAGACTCGGTACTTTAAGGAAGACCTGGGCATGCGACCTACATGGGCATGCGCTTTTCTGACCAGTGTTTTGTGTCCCAATTGCCCCTGGAATCTTAGGATATCGGAGCGCGCGCGGGAAGGCGGAGACCCGACGGCATCAAAAATGAAGGCCTCAAGAACGCGCACTCAGCGCGCACAGAAAAATAGAACAAAAGAGGTGTCTCGTTTTCCGCCAAAAGTTCGCTTCCTCGGTTTTCCTTTTGGTGTTCCTTTAAACCCCACCTAAAAGCAACAATTAATGTCCAACTCACCCAACCCACCCTTTTGGTTGTTGTTTCTTTTTTTCCGGGGGTCTAACTTCTTGGAGTTCCCCGCAAACTCCAACCCCAACAAAAAAAAGAAGAAAAACACGGCACCCCGGGCCGCCCAAACCGAGCCCCCAACACCGAACCCGCGCCAGCCGCCAGTCCCTCCACTCTCTCAGCTGGGGTGCCAGGGAGGCCTGCAGCGCCCGCACCAGGCGGTCCCCCCCGGTGAGCAGCCCGTGGCGCCCCGGCAGATCCGGCAGCCGCGGGGGGCGGCAGGGCACCGGCAGCTCCTCACTGGCCAGCCGCTCAAAGGGAAGCGCACCAAGCTAAGACCCCAGTGTTCAGGGGAAAAACGAATCAGGGTTAGACATCCAAATACCCCACCAACTGGGTTTTGCGGGAACTGATCCTGGCTAGACCCTACTTGGGTGGGTTGAACGTCCATGTGACCCCACCAACTGGGCTTGAGGGTTTGTGACCTGATCGTAACCATCCCACGCAGAACTTAGTGTTATCCACTTCTCTAAGCATCATACTTGGATTGAACATCCAAGTAGGGGATGGTGTTCCTTCACTCCGGAAGGGGTACCCTCAAAATAGGCGAACAAAATGATTCACCCCCTTTGCTCTTTTTTCCGTGTGGCGCTTAGGAACTCAAAGAAGCAACCCAATTTAGACCTGGCGTTTACATGATGGATCTCAGGGTTGTTGGGAACCGGTCGCAAGCCGTCAGGGGAAAAAAGCACAGAAAGCTCGCCAAACGGCTAGCTTGGGGACAAGGGCTTGGGCTGCTGTATTTCCTGAAGCTGGTTTTGCGTGGGATACCATGGTTATGAATGATCAGAACCATGATTGATTCACTTTAACCCCAGTTGTTGGGGGTGATAACCATAGATGGGACAACTGTAGACCAGCAGGAGCTAGCCCAAACCCCTCTTGTTGGTGGGAAGAACCCGGAGCTTCCCGAAGCACTTGCTTCGCTGTACTTCATGCGAGTCCGACCCCCCAAATCCAACGTTGACCGCACGCTTTCGACAGGTGCCACGCCCTTTCTGCCCGTGGCATCGTGCGCCTCAGAGGTCCAGTGGTTGGGAGACACGTCCGCGATGGCCTCGCACCGCCAGATCTTCAGGGGCGACCAGGCCCGCGACATCTTGGCGAAGCCCGTCTTCATGGTGCGGTCCCGGCCTGCCATGTGCCGGGCCGGACGAGTGGAGGAGTGGACACGCAACAAAAAAAATGCCAAACCTTGGAAAACCAAAAGGCGCCAGCTTGAAAAAGTGAGTTCAGCCCCGTGGTGGAAGGGAAAGCAAGCCCAGCTTGAGGGCAACAAGGCCAAGCTATCAAAAAAAAAAAAAAACGCCGGGGGCGCGGAAGTCGCGGAGGTCATACCAGCTGACAGGGAAGCACTGCCGGTCTGGGATGTCCTGCAAAACCCGCACGCGACGGCATCCCAAAATTGAAGAGCTCTCCCTGAAGGCATTCAATGCTAGAGTCCAGCACAGTCTGCTCCAGGGTCCTCTCTAAGATGGGGGGGGGGGGCTTTCTGGACTTGCGGGCTTCTTGTGCAAAAACCCAGCCATTCATTTTTGGGTGGCTCCCAAAGGGACCACTTGCGCTCTTGACGGAGCAAGAGCGGCCCACCATGCCATGCCCAGCCTGGATGGCCTTTACAAAGGCCTCCAGCGAGGAAGTGGGCTTCCCATTGACCTCGATCCAAAGTTCTCCCAAGCTTCCGACTCCAGGGTCGTTTTGCCACCTGTGAAAGGAAAATGGTTCAACCCCCTCGTAGTGAAGGATTCCTTTTTGAGGGGGTCGCCCAATTTCTCGCAAAAGGTGGCAAAAAGGCCTCCCTGCTTCCGGCGGTCCGACCCTTCCAACCACAAAAGGGGGGGCTCCAGGACTACGAATGGAATTCCAGGCCGTTGCAGTGACATCTTCTTCGGACACGGTTGTGAAAAGATGGGCTGCAGTCCTTTGAGGAAGAACAAACGCTGGCACCCCAGGAAGGTAAGGTGTGGTACTTAGTGACGGAAATCAAACACTTTGCTATCGCAGTGAGTCATGCGAGAAGCTGGAAAACACATGCGAGGAGCTAGAATACACACACATATACATATATGAATATAAATACATATGTATATATCAGGCCCCACATGCAGATCTTGGAAAGCCGGGTCAGGCAGGCCTGAGTCATGCTCCTTTCCGTTTCCTTGCCGGGGTGTTTCCTTGGAACAGCTTTGCGAAGAGTTTGGATGAATCTGAGGTGAGGCAGCAGGCGGCTTTGTTGTTGGCCGAAAGGCACTGAATCGTAGCGAAGGCTGAAACGGGAGAATAGCTTGGGCTTGAATGGTTTCATAACACAACCTTGGTTCAACTATGACGTTCAGCTGTCCTTCAAGGATGGTCAAAGCATGGCCATTTCACCAAAGCACTTTGGCAAATGAGGAGGCTTTTTGTTGTGAGCTCCCTTTGTGTGCATGCAGTTTGGCCTGGATTTGCGAATCCCTCCGAATCCGCCCCGCCTGGGTGATGAGGGAGCCAAACTCGCAGCCCAATGACTCGAAGACGTAGCCCGTGCGCGCCACGTAGACCCCGCTGTCCAGCGGCAGGTGGGTCTTCTTGGCCGCGTGGTACCCGAGCCCGTGGACGATGTCCAGGCCCAGCTCCACGTAGCGCCTAGCATGCTCAAACTACACTTGGCCCGAGGCAAACCAACCATAAGCCACCACGAACCATACCACAAGCCATGCTAACTATGGCAGGCAGATCAAGGGCTCGTAAATTGTGGGGAATCACTGGTTGCCTGCTTGCAATGTTGAGAGTGAGTTCTACTCTTATCCGCCGGGTGTGGGTTTGTCTCTAGGCCTCAATTTCTGTCGGTTCCAACTTGGAACCCACCCCAATGGGTATCGTAACACATGGCAAATTCCTCATTGATACGTCCACTCCAAAGCCCGTCAGGATGTGTTGAGGCTAACAAGTAGCACCTACAACCTGAAAGCAGCGCGCCCAACACCTGACTCAAACGTGTCGTACCTTCGCTATATGGACGAAATCCTGCACCACCTGGGACAAACCAAGAAAGCCTGTAAAAATAACGGGAGAATCTCTTAACCCACCCAACCGGTGCAGGGTTTTGTCCATTCCACGTGTGGCCATGGCCCAGTGAACATCCCAACCCCCACTAAAATAGGTTCTAAACTGGGTGGTGCACCCACCCCAAAATGGGATCCCAAAACGGTGTTGACAACCACAGCCCTGCGTCGCAACTTCTATTTCTGGCGCAAATCCTTCGTCTCCCAAAAGCCGCGGCTCTCGGCTCGAAAACATACCCAGCGCCTGGGGATGAGCGCATGCAGGTCTGCCACAGCTATGGAGAGCGTGAGCTCCTCGCCGCCTGCGAAGCGGCAGCCTTTGGCTAGGAAACCCCAGTATTCTAACATTCTCACAGTCACCCAAGTGGGTTCAACAAAAAACCACCCCAGTTTTTTGACTTTGAGAACCCCCTGACCCAGTTTGGTTTCTTTCTTTCCTTCTTTTTTTTTTGGGGGGGGGGATGCGTTTGGGTCTAAACATACTTTTGCTCAATCAAAAAGCTCCACCCTGCCACTGTCGAAACCTGCGGTTTGCCCCTCCTGTTTGACTTTGAGCCACGCCCATATGAAGAACTCATGGCCTTTCTAAGGCCGGGGAGTCCAATCAATGCGCCTGGCCTTGCAACACAAAGAAGACCTCGATGACCCTCATGCAATCCCTCAAGAGGCCTCAACTTGAGGGGAACCTAGCACCTGTCAACGCCCTGACATGAACAAGCTACATGGAGAAAAAACAAATTCAAACAAAATCAAACAAAATCGAACACAATCAAACAAGTTCAAACCAACAAGCAAGCAAACCAGAAATCCAAATAACAAACAAACAAAAGCAAGCAAACAAACAAACAAAATCAAGCAAACAAAAATCAAGCAAACAAAAACAAAGAAACAAGCAAAAAAAACAAAGAAACAAAGAAACAAACAAACAAAGAAACAAACAAAGCAACAAAGAAACAAAGAAACAAAGAAACAAACAACACATAAAGAAACAAACAAACAAAGAAACAAACAAACTAAGAAACAAACAGCAAAGAAACAAACAGCAAAGAAACAAATAAACAAACAAACAAAGAAACACAAAGAAACAAACAAACAAAGAAACAAAGAAACAAACAAACAAACAAGAAACAAAGAAACGGGTCGCGCGCGCGAAATCGCCGGGTCTTTGGTCTTCGGTCTTCGGTGCCTCGGCAGATCTGCATCTCCACGGTGCCGCCCACCTTGGCATCTAGCACCGACTCCAGGCGCACGAAGTCCAGGCAGACCTCGCCCTCCAGCTGCAGCCTATCGCTGACGATCGCGGATCCGTCGGTGCGAGGCTTGCCAGGGCACTGGGGGCGCGGCGCTTCGGTTTGTTTCATGTTTCTTCTTTTTTGTTTTGTGTTTTTGCTGTGGATTCTCTGGTTGTTTTGTCCTTTTTGTTTTTTTTGGGGGAGGGGTAAAACGAAAACCAAGTCCAAAATCGGACTCAAAAGAAAAAGGTTCAGCCCCAAAAGCAAAAAACAGCTTGCTGTGCCTCCGTTTGGCTTAGGTGAAATGGAAAACAAAAACAACACCATTCATGGAGGTCCCGTTTTGAATGCTACCCATGTGGGGGGCTCTCCAAATACGAGTCGGTCCCAAACCTTGGTGATGTTTCTCTGAACACCAAGCAAGAGGGGTCCGAATCCCATTTTGAGACACTCCGAGGTGTCTCGAAAGAGGGGATCCCAAAAAAATGGCTTTGGGTGATATAAATGTCGCTTGACAATGAACTTGACAAAAATGGATGATGAAAGCCATTGATGAACTTAGGGCCGCGTTGCCATTTGGACAGTCATGGCGCCTGCGTGTGTAGGTGCTTGTGTTTGAGCACACCCTTTGGTGCGTTGGTTCATTGGTTGAAACCAAAGGGAACACCGAATGGTGTCCAGTTCTCCAAACCTCTGGGATGGCCTCTGGGATGGCCCGAGGCGACTAGGTATCCTCAAACAGGTGACGGCAAGTCCTCACTGAGGAACATAAGCAATGTTGTTTGGGTTGAAGGGGTGCACCCAACAAACGAGCCAGCGTTGGGTCCCCAGCGTCGGATTCCTCTTTCTGACCTATTGAGTTGCCCACTTCTCCCTTTGTGGAGCCGGGCGGTTCTTCCTTCCGCATATCGCCGATTTTTAGGCTCCGATGGCAATGCGTCTGGGGCCCCGGCAAGATGTCCCCTGGTCTCAGCAGCTTCTGCTCGCAGAGCACGGCGTCCACCAAGAGCATCCCCGTGGCCGTTGGGCTCGCCGCCCGCATCTGCTGCTCATGGCGCTCCAACAGCCCCACCTGATGCCAAGCACACGTGCAGCTTGGACCGGAGGAAAGGCATGGGTGGGAGTCTAAGCGTGCGTCTCTTAGGGAATCTTCCAGAACGGATGGTTCCCTTTAAGACGTTCGGCATCCCGAACCTGGAACGCCGAAAACCGGCGCTCTTGGCGCCAGATTTCAACGGCTAGTAGACATCTCGCCGCAACCCCGCACAGCCGGAAGTTGACTGGAATCCAGATCTACCAATCATGTCAAGCTCCGTGCCTTCATTGGACTTCACTGGGCACTTCTCCAACGTCTCCAGTGCAAATGCCAAGCGCCCACGCTCTTGACGCGCGGAAACAGGCAACAAGACCCTTCCAGACCAAAGAGCCTAAGCCCCATCGATCGGAAAATCACCACAGCCCATGTCTCGCCATGTACATAGACTCCTGAAGCACTGCATGTGGCCAGTCTGGTCACTGTGCAAGGCACCCCTCCCAGCCCTTCCCGATCTTGCCTTCATAAGCTCGTCAAAAGCTCTGAAGAGAAACGCTGCCTGCGCTGAAATTCAACAAGGGAAGTTCACCGCAGAAATGTGGGCAAATCAACAGTCCTTTTTCTTCGGCTCTACCCAAACGTAGGATCATAAAGCTGTTCTTATTCATAAGCAGCAAAACTGACTAAATGCTTTGGCAACCAGCCTGTTCATGTTGCTTCCCGCTGCCACAGCACCGCGTTGAACTGCAATGCACAAATCAAATAGCACACAACAAACACGAATCACAAAAGAGCTCGTGCAAGCGAAGGCTCCCTGAGGCCCGTCTGCCCAAGGCCAACATCCGACCGCGAAGCACAACCAACAACACAACGATGAGACGGCAAAGAACCTGACAACGTTCGAAGATGAAGAAACAAGCGACCGAAGCGAGTACAACAACTAAACCCAAGGCAACCAGAAACGGTGCAACGCCAACGACCAACAAAAGGCAACCAGCAATGATCATCTGGTTTGCAATTTCTGCCGAAGCGAAAAGCAGGGGGCCCTAGTTGATCACCTCAAAAGGTGAGCAATCGGCGGCACCTTTTGCAAGTGAGTTTCACCTAGACACAAGACTTTGCGGATCCGAAAAGCGGCGATTCCTTCCGTAGCTCCACCGAAAGCGTCGTTTGCTTCCGTGACTTCCTGGGCTTCCTGGCGCATCGAGGCCCTCGCCTGACAGGTGCCCCTCTGCACCGTCTCACCCCGCTTCAGGCAAGCCAGGGTGTAGCAGACCCGATCCAGTGGCCTTGGCTAAGGGACGCACCTGAACCCTACGTTACCCCAGCGAAGGTCATCTGAGCCGCTATTTAAAAAAAAAAAAAAAGAAAAAAACGGTAGTAAAATGGTCGTAATCCCCGAACCATGCTTCAAGAATTAAGAAAAGGCGGATCTCCGCGGCCTTTTTTCCGGCCAGGAAATGTGTCCCTTCAGCTTCCTTTCCCCGGGCTTGGGAGCTGTGGAGTGCACCTGAGCGTGAAAAACTCCAACTCGTTGCTGGGTTTGTTTCAAAGATGCGGAAGCCATCTATCCAACTAGCACTTAGGTTTTCAACCCCTACGTCACCAGCCAGACAACCAAACCTAAACCAGGATTTCTCAAAATAGTGGTCCGCTAAAATGACAAAGGTTTCCTTTTGGGTTCCCCAAGACGAATACAGAAAGCATTCACCATTTCGGGAAACTCCAACCCACCCAACCCACGCAACCCAGCTCCTAACCACCAAAAACAACCCACCTTCACACAACTGGCCAAAAGAACACCCAAGACCCACCAACCCACCCAACTCTTCCAACCACCTGGAACCTCCTCGCCACCCAAAACCCAAGCTCATCTTCACCAAAAACCCACCCTAACCACGCAAAACCCACCCTAACCACGCAAAACCCCACCCTAAACCCAAAACCCCAGCCTCCCCAAACCCGCCCAAAAACCCAAACACCCCGCTGGCTTTCTCTCTCTCGGCTCCCGCGGCAGGAAGAAGGCGGAGGCCGCCCCCTCGGTGCCCGCCGCGTTCAGCGCCACCGCCCGGCCCTCCAGACTCAGCACGGGGGATCCGCTGGAGCCGCCGGAGGTGGAGGCGCCGGCGCCCGCGTAGAAGGTGTTCCTTGGGGGCTGGGGGGAGGGAGGGGGGGGGGGAGGACTTATTGGGCTTATGGCTCCCTCCCCCTCCCCCTTCCTTCCCAGACCCATGACTCAAGCTTCGGCTGTTCAGCAGCCCGGGGCTTCACTGGGGAAATCATGGTTTTCGCGGTCTCTGGGGATGGTCCAAGTCAAAACATGGGGTTTGAGGGTTTCTGGGGATGGTCCAAGTCAAAAAATTGGGTTTGAGTGTTTCTGGGGATTGTCAAAGTCAGAAAATTTGGTTAGTTTATTTCAGTTATGTTCTTTAACCCATTCGAAAGGGGGGTGACTTTGATCATGGTAAAATAGTGAAGCTGGCTTCAGGCACCCTTTTTTGGGACTCGGACCCCCCGGAGAAAAAAAAAAAAAAGGCGCGACCTGTGTTCCAGTTGTGACCCTTTAAAACCAACCAAAAAGGGGGGTCCACAGGTCCCACTGCTGCAGGACCCTTTTTTGAGGATTCGGACCCCCGCAACCGGTTCTCCGTTTGTTTCCCCTTGGAACCAAGCAATAAAATTGGGACCATCAAAGGACACGCCCATCTCAATTCGGCGGGTGCCCGAATGTGGCACCTTCCGATGGCCTTGACATGCTGTGTCCTGTCTTGACTGGCTTCCCAAGTCCATTGCCGAAAGTTGGACTGGCTCGTGTGAGATACTCCTGAAGCAAGTGGGGGGGGGGCCACGCCAAAACAATTGTTGTTCCTTTGTGCTCCTTCGATGTCTCCTTGGTCTCCCGATAAGGCCTAGAAGACTGGGTTGCTCTTCCCGAGCTAGCTTGAATGGAAAATGCCCTTTGTTTCCAAAGATCTGAGGCACCATGCACAACGAGGCCCAAAAAAAAAACTGAGCCGCGCCCATTTTTCGTTTCGCCTCCAATTGACATGGAACCTGAAGGGGGGGGGTCCGGGCTTTGACTATTTTCTTCTAAAGGCACCGGGTCCCGTACCTCAGCTTCCGGCGGTTACCTTGCTGGGACGGTCCGGAAAAAGAAAAAAAAAGAGAAAAAAAAGAGCACCGCACAGCGACCCGAGGCAGAGGCGCTCGTCGTTGTAGACGCTGTGGAACTCCGGCACGTTGCGGTCCACCCGGGCCACGGTGCCCGAGAGGATCTGGAGCTTCTCGCCCGCGTCGTTGCCCACCACCCGGATCTCGGCGCCCACTTTGAGGCCTGAAGGCTCCAGCGCGATCTCCGCCGGCTCGGTGTACCGCAACCTCCGGAGGCTGGAACCCCTCCGGTGGGAACCCGGAACCGGACCGAAATGCAGCACTTTCCAACCCGGGGAACTATGGGTTTGTCCTTTGGACATGGCACGGAAGCCAAAGGAAGACCGCGAATTCTAGGGGGTCCCCTGTTTGTGAGACAAATCCATATCACTCCCCACAACCTTGGGCCCGAAAAGCAGGCACAAGCCTACTGGTGGTGCTGCGGAGCAAGAAGGGCCGCTCCGACGCGCGGCCCGCGAGCATGAGGCAGCAAGCACAAGCCCAGGTATCCCCAACAGCCACGGAACTCGAACCCTCCGGAACCCTGAAAGCTGCTCCAAACCACCCCAAAGCCTATTTGGGCAAGACCCCGAAGCTTTCATCTGTTGCGAAAAAGAGACCTCAGCATGCAAGGAAGCCCCTGAGCTCTTCGAAGCAAAACTCGTGGGCTACAAACCTTGCAACGGCACCTGCTGGGATCGTAGCGAAAGAAGCCAAAGTCATGGATGGGGTCTCGGTAGATCACCTCCACCTGTCGAAAATCTCAGCCGATCGCTCACCTGAACAGATTGGAGCTTGGCTTGTTCCTGCTCTTGACCCTGCATTCACCTCCTTGGTTTGGCTTGAAGCACATGTCCCCCAGGCAGGGAATGGTCTTGGAAAGAAACAAAGGTGAACCAGCCAGCCATTTGGCACGGTTCCGGGCTGCGACACACGGCCATGGCACCTGCGGTATGGTCGTCGTCTCTTTTTGAGAGTCCCCGTGTGGGCCAGGGTCATGTTTCACTTACAGCAGCCCCTACTGCACGGGATGCTTGTCTTCAATCACCGTTCAGAGGCCGGAAAACCATCCCCAACAGCGAGTAAACGCGGGCAACCTTCGCAAACTCGCATTTGAACCACCCAGACGAAGCCAACTTCATGGAGCGTCCAGCTGTTTGCAGGGGCGCCTCGAGCTCCTCATGCCGGTCGAAGATGGCAATGGCCCTGACCGGGCCCACACCCGTGATGTGCCGGTTGGTGAGGATGAGCCCCATCTCCTGCAGCCCAAAAAAAAAACGATCCAACCACCATGGCCCGTCTGTCACTGTTTTGGGTGTGTCTTGTTTCCGGGTTGTGTTAGAGGGAAACCCAAAGCAAAGGACCTAACCCATACCAATGTTCAACTCATTGAAGTAAAATCAACAACCCTTCCCGTGTGTGGGATGCGAGCGCCCCTTTGCCGGGGGCAAAAAAGCGAGACCGGTTGTCCTGTACCTCCCCTCTGCTCGGATCGAATTTGTGGGAGGAAGGGGGGGCGGAGGGTGGCGCATCAAAGCTGTTTTGAAGCTGCTATAATTCAAGGAGCATCAGAGTTTCCAACCAATCAGCCAGCCAACCTACCAACCCACTAAACAGCCAGCCAGCCAGCCAAGCAAGCAAGCAACCAAGCAAGCAACTCCGCGACCAAGCGACCAAGCAAGCAACCAAGCAACCAAGCGACCAAGCAAGCAAGCAACCAACCAGCCAGCCAGCCGACCAAGCAATCAACTAACCACGAACCAACCATCCAGCCATCCAGCCGGCCAACCCAAAAAACACAAGATTCAGCTCCAATAAAATTTGTTGCCATACTTTTTCACCACAGAAACCCGATCCAAAACCCGGTGAGGACCGAAGCCGAAAGCGCGCGGTTTCTCTCCGGTCTCCTTCAGAAGCGCAAAGCCCAAAAAGGTGGCCTTGGTACCAACTCCACAAACCCAACGTGGCCTTCTCCTGGTACAACCTTGGTGCAACCTTGGAATAACCCTGGAATAACCCCGCCAAAAAAAGGTCACCCTCCTTGGTATCCTCCTCTGCCCCGGTTCCTTTCGGCTTGCGGAAAAATCCGCTTCGACCGGTCGGTACCCCATCGACGTCTCTCCTTGTCGACGACGAAGCCCGTGCCCATGGCCACCGCCGCCTGCTCGTCCTCGAAGCTCACGACGAAGGTCACCTGGCACCCCAGCGATGTGTACAGACGGATCCCGGACACTGAAAGGCTGCGGAGTCAGCTCGGGATTTCTTCTTGGTCTTTAGGTCGGGATTTTTTTTTTTTTTTTTTTTTAAAGGAAAGGCTGAAAAAATAATTACCCGACCACACTTAAACCGCTGTGGCAAAACCCCGTACACCCAGTGAACATCGGGCTCCCAGCAAACACAAAGCCACAGGGGTACGAGCTTTTGACCCATGGCCAACTGGCTGTGGCTCAAAAAATAGTACCCCTGCTGAACATCAAAATAGGTGGCACATGGATATTCAGCCGCCCCAAAATGGAGGCATAGGTTATGACCCATGGCCAAATGGCTGTGGCTCAACAAATGGTACCCAACATGGCACCTTGGTAAATTAAAACAATGACTAAAACCTGCGTAACCCCCAGCTCTTTCAATTCGAGCCATACTTAAATGATGTCCCGAATCCAGGTTGGATTGGTCCAATTTGACCTAGACCTCTTGGGGATTTGTCCAATTCTACCTTGATGATCTGCCGTCCCACCCCCGAACGTCAGGTTCCATTTTAATTGGTGGGAGGGTAAATGATGTCCACCAAAGGGGCCCGAACAAAAATTACACCCGCATGACTCAGGTGGAACCTGGCCCCGGTTGCCAAAGTCACCCAAGTGGTAAGGGAATGAAGAGGAAAGTCACCCCCCCCCCCCCAGTAGCTCCTAGGAAACCCAAAACAATTTTAGGGCCACCTGCACCTGCACAAGTAGCTCCGAAACGAAACCTCGGGGGAAGCCCTTGGGCCGCAAGCGAGCAGATAGCGGCGCTTCTTCGCGTCACGACACCTAAAACTTGATCTGGAAACCACCAATGTGAGACCTCCCTTCATGCGTGTTGATGGCTTCCTTTGTGGTTTCCTTTTGGTTTCCTGAAAAACACTAGCGCATGGTCTAGGGACATTCCAAATCAAACTGCCAAAAGCGGGACGGCCGGGGAATTGCTGAATGTCGTATGATGTTGGATGATGCAGAAACCTAAGGCAGAAACTTTACCAGGAAACCTCCGCCTGGCTGTCAAGCAGTCGGTTCGAGCCTTGATCGCCACGATCGCAGGCTGAACCGCAGAAATCACCTGGCAGACAATGAACCAAATAACCTCAATCTATATTTTGTTGCTTGGCAGGAATGCAGAATGCACGCAGCTACAAGTATCATGAAACAAAAATAAGGTAAGCAACACGACGCTCGGAGGTGCAAGCGATGCACTCAAAAGCCCCTCCTGGGCCCATTCGCGGCTGCCAGCGCTGGCAGCAGTGACGCAGTCCGCAAGCCTCGCGCACGCGAAAGACAAAGCTGGCGCGCAAAAAAAAAAAACACCAAATAACTGACAGCGCGTGAGGCGTCCACACGTGACCGCACAGGTTGCTTTCAGGGTTGTTTTTTAGCTGATTGTGGTTGTACCTCCGGTCGTTCAAGCGCCTCAGGTCTTCCCCCCACCCAAAAGCACCGAGTCACCCCATGGCCCCGAGAACTCCGCCTCGCCCGCTTCGCCGGGCGCTCCAGCTCGCCTCGCAAAGCGGAAAGGTTGCACGCTTCCCCGCCACGCTGGATTCAGCTGCCGTGCTAGAACAAAAACGAGCTGAATTCGCCACCTGCAGGCCTCTGATTGAAACCGCCCGTCCAACCAAGAATAAACCCGAGGCTGCCTGCGCGCTAAACTGAGACTATGAGTGCTCACCAAACACCGGTAGCCTTATGCGAATGCCGACGCTTCCGAGCACGGCGCCTCCTTCAATCTGCACATCAGGGGCCTCAGAAGCTTTTTCAGCGGCGGGGGTCTCGGGACTAAACTGGGCCGCTGTTGCCATGGCTTTCGCACAAGGTCTCCCCCGAGCTCGGGAAAATGGAACCGCGAAAAACCGCGCAAAGGCAACAGCAAAAGCAAACAACAAATATTTTCCCTTGACCTACAAAAGAATGTGCAACAGCAAAACAAAAACGCGCTGGGCCTTGATCCCCTTTGTCCAGCTATCCCTGACCTCGGCTCACAAGGAGTCACGAGTTCGCCGGGCTTCCGGCAAGGCCAGAGCTCGTCGCCATGGAAGGTTCGGAACCGCGCGGGTTTCGGAGGGGTTCGGAGGGCGCAATCAAGCCTTTGGGTCTTTGGGGACTGGCGGTGGGGCGAGGTGCTCCTCTTTTTTTCTCCGCCACTAAATGCAAGTTCGCTTTTTCCTGGCTGAACATGGGCGAAGCTTGTTGTGTCTTTGGTCCGCCTTGAGTCATCACTCAGCCAAAGGTGGTTGCGCGAAGCACGTCAAATTTCAAGGGCTCCCAGCAACAAAGCGCGTGGGGGTGTGTGAAACTGGTTCTTAGATCTATCAATCTCCGATTCGCGCGAACAGCCGCTGAAGCACTGGCAGCAAGTCTGAGAAAGTTGGCATGAGAGAAGCTGAGCATCGCGCCGCAAATCGAAACACGGGACTGTGTTTGTCCAGCACCTTTCGCGGAGAAAGGACATGAGACACCCAATGTGCATGCTGTGGTTTGCTTTGCTCCTTTGGCGCTAGGGATTGGCCACCCCAGCCCCAACACACCCCACCCCCAGCCATCTTTTTGGTTGCCATCCGCTCAGCGTGCGAAGGCAATGCCTTCCTGGAGGCGTCTCAAAAGAGAAAAAGCCCGGCAACAGCCGGGGATAAGGAGGCGTCTCAAAAGACGCAGTGCCGGCAAGTTGCCAGCCGGAGCTACAGTTGCTCCTGAAGCCGCTCTCCCTTGGGAGGTCTTGATTCGAATCTTGACCTTGACACCACCCCAAGTCCATCCGAGACATGAACTCACTGGCAAAACCGCAAGGCCTCCCTCCCTTTATTCCTATGAGCTGCTGTGCAAGTGCAGATCTGGCCAAGCCGGCAGGCAGGCAGGCAGGCAGGCAGGCAAACCAACCCCCAGCCAGCCAGCAAGCCAGCCAGCCAGCCACCCCACCCCAACCACCCAAGCCGTATCTCAACTCAACTTCGCCAGCCCATGCTCAGCCCCCCACCGCCCCACCCCCCCCAACCCCTGCCCCAAACCAAATCCGCTCTCCTTCAGGGCGGTCCACAGGTGAGCGTGACCGCTCTGCTCCAGGTGCCGCTGCAGCTGCCGCAACCTGCAGTCCACCACATTTGGAGTCCAACAGGCAGAGTCCATCACACTTGGACGCTCACATGGGGGAGGAACCCTGCAGCTTTGTTTTTTACCTTGGAGAGGCCCTCGCGCGAGCATCCGTCCGCTGTTTTCAACACCGCCACAAATTAAGGAGGCTACCTTCCGAGTACCTTCCCCTTTTTTTGGGTGTGTGTGTTCAAAGCTCGAAAAGAAACCGGTTTGGGGGGGTCCACTGTTTTGAGACAAATTGGTGTAGCATAAGGGAGATGGAGAGCAAGCACTGCCGCTGGGCTATCTCTTTTCTGTGCAAAGGGGGATGGAGGGTAGATGGAAGGTAGTGGCCAAGTCGGCAATTGGGGATCATCCAGATGATTGGGCAGTTGGCTTCCTCTAACTTTCTCTTGGATCCTATCCCAACCCAAACGTGAACCCCCAAACGCATCAGGGCAAGGCAGCCACGGCTGTTTGAAGTTCGGTGCAGGCCCCAAACCTGACCCCAGGATTCCCCAATATGTTGAGCCCGAAGGTGGCAACACCTTCGGAAGTGCTCGGCATGAAGGAAAATCCATCGCTCGTCTGCTGGAGGTGCGCTCGTCCCCGCTCTCAGACGCAGCTTTGCCCCTTGTTTCTTCGGCTTTCGTGGAGCTAAGCTTCCGGCACCAGGTTGTTCAGCCTGAGACTGGCACTCCGATCGGAAAGGGCTCAAACTTTCGGACCCCGATGTCAGGTCCAGGGCCACCATTCAGCAAGCTTCACAGGCGCTTCCTTTGCGTAGCAAGGGTATCTGAAAAAATATGACGAAAAAACACTTGGACATATGGATTATGACATGCAATTCACTGTTTAGAGTGTCTGCTCCGACTCTCCAACGTGAGGCTTGGCCAAAAAACCTTTGTGGATTTCACACAAACTATGTATTATAGTGTATAGATGCACAGCTATCTAACCAACCCAACATTCCTCCCCCCCGCCCCACCTCTGCAGTAACCCCCAAAAAATCCATCAAATCCCCAACACACCGAGCCTCCCCCGTCCCCCAGCCCATCTTCCCACTTTCGCCAGAGCTGCAGTCAATACTACTAAACATGGGAGTGACCTCACAGCGGACAGCCAGCCAGGACCCCGAGTGACTGATATGGAAGGAAATGGCTGTGGCTCAAAACGGACACCAAAATAGCACCTTGGCAAATGGAACCAAAGATTAAAATCCGCGTAACCCTGCTCTTTAATTTTGAGCCACACCAAAATGTTCAGAGTCCCCTGCTTGAGCAAAATGTCGAGAGTCCATACAAATCCCTACTAAACACGATACTCCCGCGCATGAACCCAGATTTCAGCGGATTTCCATGAGACAAAGAGTTGGCACCTTTTCTGGGTCGCTTTCTTAAGCAGCTCTCCTCCTCCCTCAAAAAAAATCAGCTCAGGTGATATCCCCGACAGCATGCGGTTCTCTTTTTAGTGCTCGCACCACCCCGCAACCCTCGCAGAACCTCGTGGAACCCTCGTGGAACCCTGGTGGAACCCTGGTGGAACCCTCGTGGAACCCTCGTGGAACCTTACCTCAGGGCTGCCCCGGACCACCCCAGAGCCTATCTGGGCTGAGACCCCAAAGCTTTTAGCTGTTGGAAAAAGACACACACACACAGTACACATGGGCACCGCAACCCAGCTGGAAGACATTCAACCCACCTGGGTGGATCCAACCCAGCCAGACAAAAATCAATCCCGGCGGGGTGAAGTTCAGCCCACCGGGAGAAAAAACCCACCGTGGATCAAACCGCAAACCCACCGAAGCTACGAAAAAAAAAAAAATCAGCCCACCCGCTTCTTCCGACGGGAAGCGGCTTGATCTGGCCCTTCACGGCCAGGCCCAGCGCCTGCCGCGCCACCTTCGCCGCCTCCTGGCCCATCCGCGCCTGAGCCCGGATCCGAAGGCCGCGCGAGGCGCGGAAGAGGCCCAGACATGGTGCCAGGGCTTGCAAAACCCCCCTATTATACGTGTGTGTATATATATATATATATTGTATATATATATACATATATATAATATGTTTACGCATATGTATGTATATATGTATAGAAATAAATATGTATATCTGTGTATGTGGTACCCCCCCGTGGACCTGCGCCTGGTCAAACAAGATTGAACAAATACAGCATGTTCGAGCGTGTTTGCTTCTTTGTCTTACCAAAAATAAGGGTCAAACTGGGCGTCTCCTAGAGCAAACAAGACGGGCGTCCATGTGAAAAAACTGTGACAACAAAAACAAACACTTTAGTGGATCCAAGATTCAAGATTGCGCGGAAAGTTTCTTGAGAATCTTGGATCCAGGCGCCAGAAAACCGTAAAGATTTTCGACAAACATTCATGCTTTTTGGGTCGGGGGGTGGATCGATCCAAGATGAATGCTAAGCCGACCAAGATATGAGACAAGCGCCAGACAAGCAAACTCATGGCGTCAGCTTGAATTGCTTGGGGCAAGTACCCTCATCCGGACCGCATCAAAAAAAGGCTGGCAAAGGCCAAATGAGACAGACCTCAGACGGTCCTGACTTACCCCCAGAAATCGCAAAGATGGGGTCTTGAAAGCCCGGGACCCCAGATGGCTTCCTTTCCTGAAAAAAACCCTCTCCAAAAGGGGTACCCTCCAAAACTTCAAAACGCCCAAGGCCCAGCGACAGACGCGGGCCTTCACCAGCTGTTCCACCAGCTGCTCGTAGGTGCCGGCGTCCGGGCCTCAGTCCGTGCAAGGCGAACCCCAAAACGGGTGCCCTCCAAAACGAAAGCACCCGCTCGAGAAAAAAAACACTCACCAATCAGCAAAAAGTCCCTCTTGACCGTCCAGGTCCCTCGACCCCCTCTTTCAGAGGGGCTCCTGTTACCCGACCCGCTCTGACCCGAAGCTGGGCCCAGCTGCGGCTGCGCTTCCCAGCCTCCGCGCTGCAGCGAGCGCCTCCCGGGGCCCCGCGCCATCGCAGTGCGGCAGGGACTTCATCTCCTCGAGCGCCGCTATGGCACGTTGGGGCGCGCCGTTGTGGAAGCAGGCGCTGATCAGGCCTCACGTCACGGCCCAAATGAGCCGCGGAACGCGGCGGCCGCGTTGCGCACATGCCGCGGTGGCTGCAAAAACGGGAATCCCCACAATGGCACCTTGGTATATGGAGACAAGACCAAAAGCTGCGTAACCCCATCTGTTAAATTTTGAGCCACACCCTTGGACAAAAAGTTGGTGAACCCACCATGCAAGGAATTGAAGAGGCGGCCGCACCCTTATTTATGGCTGGGATTCTCCCTTACCCTCCAATTCACCCGGTTTTGATGGTGACTGAAATGAGGCAATGAGGCTACGGCACTTCTCCGGAAGACCCCCCCGCGCTGCCGTATGCTCAGTAACACCATGCCGCCTGTAGGGGGCTTTATAGCTGGTTCACCATGACAGGCCGAACCTTGCGGCCTGGCATCCAGCTTCCTAGGATGCCAGGTGACTCACCAAAACGGCCTCCTCCCTCGGGCCCGGTCTTCCCGGATCACAAATGGTGTCTTGAACCTGTGAGATCCCCCCAAAAAAATGGAGGGGGTGGCACCGAACAAGACTGATCCATGTTGGTTCCTCCAAGCTCTTTGAGACTCAATCTCAAGCCAACTTCCACCTCGGCTCCCACTCCCGCGGGAGTGGGCCCCTTCCATGCGAGTCCAAGGGGCAGGTGCAAAGCTTGGAGTCGAGGTGTACGTGCCCCGCCTGACGCGGGGAAACAGAAGGAGAGAAAGAAAGGAAGAGATACACAAAGAAAGAGAGACAACGACAAACAGAGAAAGAGATGAAGAGATTAACAGAGAAAGAGAGGAAGAGGTAAACTCTGAAAGAGAGGAAGAGACAAACTGCGAAAGAGAGAACGGGGTAAACAGAGCAAGAGAGAAAGAGATCATTTCAGAAAGAGAGCAAGAGATCATTAAGACAGAGAGAAAGAGATAAACAAAGAAAGAGAGAAAGAGTTGTGTTGCTTTACTTAAAACACAAGCGCTAAACTAAAGACAAAAGAGAAAGAGAGAAAGAGATAAGCTGAAAAAGTGAGATAAGTAGATAAAAAGAGAAAGAGGGAAGGAGAGAGAAAACAAATCTGAGGAAGAGAACTCTGAAACTCCTCAGCAAAGAGTTGCCCAAATATGCTCCAGAGTTGTTCAGAGGCGGCTCCGGGTCAGGAGGGCTTCTGGGGTTGCTTTGGGGATACCAAGGCTTATGTAGTGCTGGGCACGAATTTGATTGAGGAACCTCATTTTTGGGTGTTTTTTTGGGGAAACTGGGAAACCCGCTTTGGTTTTCCAGGGGAACCAACAGGCAAACGGGGGGGGGGGGTTCCCTAGTTTTAAGACAAACCCATCTTGACGATTTCTAGGGCATGTCAAAGTCAGAAGACGGGCTCCAAGAAGGGTTCCTCCAAAAAGATGTGAAAAGAGGTCCAATGCAACATCTCAAAAGGTCCAATGGTTGTTTCAAACAAACCCCTTTCGGGTACCATTTTTCAGCCGCAGCCATCCACTCCATTTTGCAGTGGCCCAGTCCCTCCCCGCCCCTCGAGGAGTCGCAAAGAATCGCCGAACTTCGAGAAGGATTCGGAGACCCGGGCCTGGCTGTGCTGGCGCACCGCCGCAAAGGCCTTGTCCAGCTGCTTGCGCTTGCCCCACATCCTGCGATGCATCGCGCCCTTGCGATCCCTTTCAGCTGCCTGAAAGGGATCTGGCGGCGAAAAACTCCCAAGAACATGGCCCATGGCCACTTTGGTCTGTGCCAAAGGGACCTTTAAAAAAAAAACGCTCCTGTCTTTACTTGAGACCGTCTCTTCTTGGCCCCAGGTATTGATTTTGGCTCAACCAACGTTAATGCCGGATTAACAAACCCCTGCTTGATGACTAGATGGTGAGTCCCTTTTTAGTGGCAACCCTTTACTTTTCTAGGTGACACCCCTACCTAGTGGCATGGGTTCCACTTAGATCCGGGGTCCCCTCCCCCCTCCCCGGCAGGTCGCCATAAAAACCAAACGCTCGCCCGGCGCCGAACGACGTCTTCCGCGCTGCGGTAACCGCGGCGGGGCGGCTTGACGATGATGGACAGAGTGAAGTTCGAAGGCTCCGTTCCGGACTTGGACATCTCCTGCAGCAGCCTGGCGTCCGCCCAAAATTCGCCAAGGCCCAGGTCATCTCATGGTTTGTTTCCCCGTGAGGGCGGCGCCCCTTGGAGGGCCATCTGGATCCTTCATCTTTCAAAGCCTTTCATCTTACAAAGCCTTGCGATGCCGCCGGATACTGTGAAAAAAAAACTTGTCAAAGCAATCAGCTGCCAGCCAAAAAGACACGCGGGCATGCAGCATCCAAAGCAGCCACAAGAACACGACTCAGGTTGCATCCTGCGGATCGTTGCATCATGTAGTTACATCACAAGATGATGGGCAACATTGCATCATAATATGCATGAATGCATGATCATTGGTACGTCTCAATTCTAGATTGTGCTTCCTATAAGACGACGCCTGAAGCAGACTAGCTTCCCTTTGATTTAGCTTCCCTTCAATTGCCCGTGAAACATCATCCGTTTTGAAAACAAGTCCGCTATCTTCATACATCATAGTACATACACACTTCCGCATCTCTCACACCGCCCTTCCGCCTCTCTTCCGCGCACACAGCGGGAATCTCATGCCATGCAAGCCCTGAAACAAAACAAAAATACAAGAGGCCCAGAAGGGGGTCTTTTCTGCGGCTTAAAAAAAAAGGAGAAAAAAAGCTTCCATTAAGCAATTGGAAGCCAGGGATCCCTCCGCATCTCCCGTCCCTTGGCCGGCGAGCAGCTGATCACAGAGGTTGAAGCGGCTGCTCCGTACTGCTCCGTCCAGCAGCGTGTTGTACCTCGCACGCGAGGACGTCGCGTACGTGGCTGTGGATCAAAACCCATGGGTAGGTGAATTCACCACCCATTTTAGAACCTATTTCAGTAGGGATTGCTGCCCACCAGTGAATGATGACTACCCTCCCACCAACTAACATGCAAGTGCAGAAAGGCCCTTTCCAAGAGGAAAGTAGTCTTTCTACAGGGTCTGTGCACTTCCATGTTAGCTGGTGGGAGGGTAACGTTTTGCTGTACTGACTTACAAGCAGCTTCTTCATGCAGACCGACCCCCCCAACAGAAGGTGGAGATTCCCAACACCATGTGCGAACCCTCGCAAACCCCAAACCCTAAAAACACTGCCATGTGCAAACCCTCGTAAACCCCGAACCCCAAAAATCCCCAGCACAAGGCGCATCACCGTGTCCGGCAAAATGCCCTTGGCCACCATCGCCTCGAAGACTCGGAGCGCCCCATCCAGGTCGCTCTTCAGGCAATGACCCTTCCTGGACAAAGCTCGGCTGCGGAAACTGCGGTGTTGGTGTGGTCCAATCAAAGAGAGACAACACAGCAACGTGTTACAAAAAAACAAAACAAAACAAAACATGTGTGTGGGGTCAAAATTAGGGCGACCCCGAAATGGAACCCTGGTAAATGGAAACAAGGATTGAAACCTGTCCCCGGGCGATTCAATTTTGACCCATACCCACATCTTGGCATCCAACTTGCTTTTTTCTTGATTTTGCTGATGGAAAAGAAACCGTTTGGCCCCTAAATAATGAAGACACCTGAAGGATGTTTTTTTCAAAAAAAGGCCCTTTGACCACTCGGGGTAACAATCTTCACTGATTCGGCGCTGCCAAGCGGCACCAGCGAAGAGTAGGTGATGGTATTAGGCTGCACTCCGTCCTGGTCAAACACAGACTGAAGCAAGTGACATGAGGCTTGTGCGAGAACAACTTGGCCGCTGTTTCTGATGGTCACCTTACCCTTACTTGGATAGGATTGGTGGTTGGATGCGAGCCACCCTCCTCCAGAGCACCAAACCACAAAGGCGACCACAAAAATCCGTACCCCTTGCAGGGCCAAAAAAAAAAGAAGAAAACACAAAAAGAGCGCCGCAAGAAACGCGGTTGGGTCAATCCTGCACCATCTGCTCCAGCAAGCTGTGGGCCTTGTCCAAGTTCCCAGCCCGCGCCTCCGGGCGAAATCTAGGTGCAACCGACTTTTTCGCACTTTCAGTGGGGAAGGAAGGCACCTGTCTCGTGCCATTCCCCAGATCCTCCGAAAGTGGGGAGCAGGCAGCAGCGCTCTGAGCCACCGGGAGTTCAGCCACGAGATTTGTTGGAGAAAAAGAGCAGGCCAACGCTCCGGACGGAGCCTGGCGCTTAGCAGACGCTTCGGGTTGGGCGAGGCGCCTGGGCATCCATGAGCGTGGAGTAGGCCACCAGGTTCATGCGGAGGCCCTCCGCCTTCAGCTCACGGTACCTTCGTAGCACGTCTCGTTGTGCCGAGTTTCTATGATCTTTTTCAGTGGGAGGTGTGGTGCCGTTTTTGAATGAACTTGAAACTATATCAAGTGCAATAACCATTTGGTGCGTTTAGCTTCACATCTTTAGAATACCATCCCAAAAAGGCCCAAGCTTTTGAGTGGGAGGTTTGGTGCCGTTAGGACGCAAAAGGAAAAACGGTGTTTCTCATTTCAGGGGTCCGTCTAGCACCTAACCCCGTCTCATGGCTCGGCGCACATGTCCATGGCTCGCTCGGCGTCGCCCTGTACTGCGAAGCCTCGAGCCGCGCGCTTGCCGCGGGGCTGTCTCTGGCTCGCTCGCTCGCTCACGCTTCCTCGCTCGGGAGTGTTTGTTTCTTTGGTTAGGACCTGACCGAAATCGACCTTCGCCCAGAGCTCTTGAGCCCCATCTGCCATCAACAAAACCATCGGAGGAGCCAGGGGAGCCGAGACGGACATCCGGCACGCCTTTGATGAGGTTGGAGAAGATGATGGTGTTGGGAGGGACCGCCTTGCGCCACTTCTGGAAGAGGAGGAGTGCATCGTCCACCTGGAATAAAGGCATGCCCTTGGTGCCATGAAAAGGGCGAAAGCAAAAGCCAAGCCCTTTCGTCGTCGCTGCTCCATCCTCAAAAGGAGTTCTCGTTCTTGACTGGCCACTCTGGCGCTTGCACAGGGCCACTTCAGATCGAAGAACTTTGATGGGAACATCGTTGACCAATGAGAATGTTGACACGCTCTTAGTGTTGCTATTCTGCGCAACTTGCCGTCAAGGTTGGTACAGGGTGCGTGTATACATATATATATATATATATATACTTAGAAAGAGAGAGAGAGAGAGAGAGATGTTCATTGTGCATATACTCAGGTCCAGCGTTGCTGGCCTAACATACTTGAACCCATTTTGGTGGAACCGAAAGTCAACCTGTTTTGGGTGCAAGATACATTACTACTTTTGCCCGGCTCGCCGGAACAGCCCAATCCCGCCCTTTGCTGACCTGTACCGCACAATTGCATGAATCAACCCCCCCAAGAGTGAATGCCCCTCCCGAGCAAAAGGCAGTTTACGAACTAGCTAGATCCTCCCCATCTCCGTCACAGCATCTGGCATCCAGACACAGGGAGACAAGCAGGAGACACGACCCCGGAGCCCGCTGGCATCCGACCGCAGAGACTGGGAGACAGACAGAGGCCCATCCACCCTCTTGAAGCCGCGCCTGGCCAGCACTGACAATGGCATCCAGCATGCAGCTCAGCGCCACATCAGAGGGCAAGAGGCCTTGATCCAAGCACTGCAAGCACGCGCTGAGCAAGGTGGGATTCATAGATTCATACAGAGTTATAGGTTATACACCTCTTGAATATTCATACTGGCGATTGTATGTCTCCCACAATCCTAGTCAAGATGCTAAAAGTAGCGCGAAAAAACCTTGCTCAAAAGCACGGCTTCTAATTCAATCTTGCTCTGACATGCAATGCAACAAACACTGAACAAATGATTCCAGTACTCTTGTATATTTGACTGACAAGCTGTGCCAGGTGCTGATTCAAGGCAACCCTTTCACTGCCCATGGCGCATTTAAACATCTCCCACAATCCACCAACCGCGGCGTCCGTTCCACTCGTAGCGGACCATCCAATCCGAACCCAACCCCCCCCCCCTTTCCCCCCGCCCCTTCTGCATGACAACAACCGCGCGAGCTTTCGCAAGTGGAAGCTCGTGCCTCGCTGCTCCTTATCCGTCATCTCATGCCACACTGACCAGCACTTGTTGGTCTGCTTCAGGCAGGCGTAGGCCTGCACCACGTTTGGAAAGCGAGCTGTCCATGCGCTTTGGATCTCAGGTCCCAGCCCCAACCTGAGGCGCTCATGGATCTCAGGGACACCCTCATTGGTGAAGTCAGCGTCTTGGAGCTGTTGAACCGCAAGAGGAAGGCCGGATGGGGGTTTGCATCTTTGAGCCCCCAAAACGGTACCCTCACAAACAAACACACACACAAAGATGGGCCAAATGACCCAAAACGGCCGACCCGCGCCTTGATGATCAGCCCATAGTTCTGCACCGATGGCTTCAGCGTGGCCTTTTCGAACTGTCGGAGGACCCAGGAGAGGCGCCGCACGTCCTCCGAAAACGCGGACGCTGCTCCTGTCCTTTTGGCATCCACGGCAAAATCATGGCCAGACCAGAGGACCAAGCGAATCCATCTTTCAATCCAGCTGAATAAGGATTTGATTCAAACTGATACCAGGCGGAAACCATCTGCTTTCAACCAAGCCAGCCGAAGAGGCCACAAATTGCTGCGGTCATCTTGAAGCTGGCTCCCTGCTTTCGCTTCGTCTACCTGTCTGATCTGAACGCCTTTTGCGACGCCTTTTGCGGATCGCAACAGATGGCTGAGACTCCTTCAAGTGAATGCAGGCGTCGAGGATGGTGTTCAAGAGAACCTCGTCTTTGCATATCTCCACCTGGCAGCTGCCCCGTGCTCCGATCGATCTCCGTGCAACCAGCCGGACCACCAGCCCTAGCTGACGTCAGGCGAATGCCAGCTTTGCTTGACGGCTTTGGGATAGGCTTAATTAGGCGTGTCGGGCTGTGAGCTTGCGCGCAAGCGCGCAAGCTTCCCCTTGGCTCGGCGCTTTGTGACTTGCGACCGCAGCTTCGGGGCGCAAAAGGCGTGCGACATCACACCGCGGTGAGAAGACAAAAAGAAAAAAAGAAAGCGCCTTGGACTGGTCCAGGATGGACAGGGCCCACTGGGCTTCCTGGCGGCTTCGCGCCTTCCGCACCTGAGCCGAAGAATTTCTCGGAAATTTTGGGGTAGACCCGGGGAGGGCGAGCCATCCAACTGGAGTGTCCTTTACTTCTTAGTGCCCAGAGGCCCCTTCTTTTTGTCACTCGACTTGAAGTTAAAACCCCTGCACCTTTTAACCATCTGGGAATAAAACGGCAGCCTGCCCCAGAGTTCCCGCTTCATATCTTGGCTGAGCTGCGATCTTCATGAGAATGCACACGGTAAAGCTGTCTGCCTGGCGCAAACGCAGTCCCTTGGGACTCGTACTCAGTTCCAGCAACCGTTTTGGGGATGTTCCCCATGAAATCCACGCACTCCGTGTTTCAACTTACCATGGCTGCACGCTGTATGAAATGAAGCCCGTCCCGTGTTCAGAGCTATCGGATTGGCACATACGTCGCATGTCGGACACAGGGCTAGGGGTGCAACAGAGACAAAGCATTCATTTCCGATACACACATAACTGCAAGAGACGCATCTAGTTTTGCATCAGCGCTCTGCTCCCTCCCCAACTTCACAACGCTAGCCTCCACGCCAGACTTCTGCATCTTCTCGTAGAGACTCCAGGCTTGGTCAAAGTCCCCTCACCGGAAAAGCAGCACTGCAGCTTTCCCACATGAACTCAAAGTGGCTTCGTCGAGAACGCCCATCGGGCTCTCAACGAAACGTCCAACGCCGCGCCTTCGGAGACTGCTGCGCTGATGAGGCAGTTGAAGGAAGCGGAGTTGGGCACGTGGCCAGCGGCCTCGGAACCCCCTCAACGATGCAGGCGTCTCTGGGCGAAGCCTGGAAAATCCGTCGGTTTCCCTTGGGCTTCCTGAGCGCCAACCCACGCTTTTGAAGCGCCAAGCCACCCAAGCAAGCAACCCAAGCAACCCAAGCAACCCAAGCACCAAAGCACCCAGCCCAGTCGAGCCTCACCCCCAGACGTCGAGCCTTCATCTCGTGAAGCAGCTTCTGGGCGCGCCCAAAGTCGCCCTGGAGCCCAAGGGAATGAACCCCATGGCCAGGATCTAAGTCCCCCCCCCAATCTGCCCCCCTCGGGGGGGAGGAATTGCAAAAAGGGGGGGGCTTGGGTGGCCTGTGGATGGTTGCCTGTTCTTTCCCCTTGTTCGTTTTAAAAAGGGGGGGTTTGAGGAGCTTTTATGTCGCTGGCATAGAGGTGGTCATTTGGGTACATTGTCACTTTGTTCATTGTTAGGCTGGGGGTTGACGTTTTGCTCGTTTCAATGAGGTTGCCCGTCTAGTAGTTATGGTGTCTGGGGTGTTGGGTGGGTCTTGTGTGTTGACATCATTTTGAACATTGAAAGTTTGTAGTAAGTCAAAATTACAGTATAAGGTTGTCAAATGATATAAGTGGATTCCACTTATTCATTGTACATAATTTATTTGTTTCAATAATTATTGACTTGAAATGGTATGCGGGAAGGAAGTGGGGTGACTAGGTCCAACCAGGGACCCATGTGAAAGAACAAAAGAGCACATGGCGCCGTCCCGAGGCCGTGCCCTGCCTTGGCAGCATAGCCCTTCAACAACCTCGCAAGCGAGGGCGTGACTCAAAACTAGGGCGAAACATGCATGAAAATGTTTGTTTGGAAGCTGGCCCGGTGCTACTCGAGTACGGCATGTTGATCCTGCTTTGGCCTCTGACCGCGTCTTAGCACCGGGCGTGTTGTAGCTAATGAGCGTCACCAGGTGCTTCTGATGCATTTCCTCTGCAAGCTTCCTCCTACCTACCCACCAATACATAAATGACTTCTCGCACAAACTCCCTTTCCACTAGAATAAGAGGCGATTGCACAAGGAGCTGCCCAAACATCAATTCCCATTCCCCCTACGATCTGCTGAAAAGCAATCAACTGCGCAAAGGCCAACTCACGTCTAGCACACGGAAAAACTGCAGTGGTTCTTCAACATGTGGGCTTGTGTTCACACGGACAACCACAACCGGTCCCCATGTGGCTGACCTTTAACAGCAACCCAACCCGGAAAACAAAAAAACCAAAAAAAAAAACTCCAGAAGACAAATGGGTGTGGCTCAAAAAACCAGTAGCCAAATGGAACCCTGGTAAGTGGAAGCATGGACCAAAACTTGCGTAACCCCAGCTGTTTAATTTTGAGCCACATTCAAAAGACCCCTGTATCTTGCAAGTCATGTCGGGCAACCGGTCTCGCGCGTGAACTGCTCCCTCCCCAGTCCTGGAAGATGGCCTCGCCCTGCTCCGCATCCCCGGAATTCATGCACACGTCCAGCACGGAGTTGTACACCGCCGCATCCACCGCGGTGGTCTGGCCAAGCCACAGCCACCGAGCTCTCTGAAAATCAATATATCTTCATTCAAAAAAAGAAAGATCTTATTTTCCTCAGGACGGAGCAACAGGTGTTGAGCACAAGACCTGGCAGCTGTGTGACGTGCTTGCGGGAACTATCAAGATATGGCCAAATGTATCGTGGCCCCCTCCTCAATGTGGCGCTCAACCATCGTTTCTCCGTCTTCAAGCTGCTTGCCACCATAGATCAAGCGCTGTTGGTCGGTCGGAACGCCAAACTTGGCCTGAATCTTGGCCTTCAGCTGGTCACCACGTGTGTTGCTCCCCACGTCAACTACTTTGCTGGTTCCTGAGAAAGCCATGACTTGGATTTGAAATCCAGAGGCAGTGTCTTCCTTGTCTCGGGACAGCACAGTGTCCCGTTGCAGGAGATTCGCGCAGTCCTCCGCCAACGCAAGGACCAGCAAAGAGACAACAAGCTTCAACAACGCCATGTCTCAGCTTGAGGCCAAGGGACTGGAAAAAATCGATCCTCAAAACGGCTTGGGCCAGGCAAGGAGGCCGGCGGTTTCCCGCTAGGGAGCCAGGCCGGCCAAGCAGCTCGCTTCGATAACGCGGGCCAGGGGTCCAAAGCTGCCGCCGCCCGGGGCCTTCTCCAACTGCCGCAAGAGTCCAATGGCACGTGGCACGTCCCGCTTCTGACCTGGCGTGAGCGCGAGCTGCAAGCATGCGGCTCGCGGCGATCAACCGCCCATTCCCGCAAATGCAAAGGTACGGTGGATGTGTGTATATATATATATATATGGAGGTACATACGACTCAGAGCAACATGCGAAACACGCAGCACCTTGACAATCCACTCAAACTCAACCAAGATCGAAGAAATCCGCCCCGCTTCCCAGCAATAAACGGGCACAAGGAGAACTCTGTCAAGTAAACCCGGCTAAAAAGAGGTTCAACTGCTCGAACTTCCATTCAGATTGCGAGCGAAGAGACGCTGGCAACGGGGCGGCAGTCAAGGGGTCGTGGAAGAATCAAGGCCCCTGGGAAACGATTCGAAGCAAACTGAAAGGAGGGCGACCGCCCGCCTGCGGATCGAATCAGCCACATGTAGTTCTGCACGTCGCCGCCCTCAGGGCTCCCAGTCCCTTCCCTTGGGCCCAAGACCATCCCTTCAGATCCTGCGCTGATTGAAACACCTCCCAATGCATCAGGTTCCAATTACCTAACCGTCGAATTGCTTGGAAAGGGGTAGGTCAAATGCTTTGCCAGAGATTGTGGACCTCTCAGCAAATTGTCTCCGTTGTGGCCCGCAACGAAACCCATGACTCCTGTTGTGCCTCCGTTCGTCTGGCCGCCTTCCCAAGAAAAGCATGAACTGCGCAAGATCAACACTGCCTTGGCTTCGGTCAAACTGGCCCTAGGTGAATCCTCGAGCCATGATCTGCTCGACTTGTCTGTTTCAAGCATCCCCACAATGGGGTGGTTTCCCAGTCGCGTGAACATTTCGAACAACTGAAAACACTCAAAAACGGAGAGAAAAAAACGAGGCAAGGCGTCCAATCCCATTGGCAAGGTCACTACATGCTTGCTCTTTTAAAAAAAAAAGAAGAAAAAAAACTACAAATAAAGTTCAAACAAGTGATGTACCTTGCAAAAAGCAATTCCCCATTCCCCCGCCCAACAATGGCCTGGGGCTTGTCCGACGCAGCATTGAACAGGCGCTGGGAGAGGTCCTCGCGGCCGCACTTCACCGCAAACTTCACCAGGCAGCCGTACATGACCTCTGCGCGCAAGACGGGAAACGAAGAACTGGTCGAATCTCCCATGATTTGTTGCGATCCCCGGAACCGCAACCCCCGGTTTCCCCCCTGGAACCCTCCCGTGCGAGATCGCGCATCCCTTACCACCGCCCAGTGCCAAAGCCCCGCAGCGCGCGGCTTCGCGCCGCACTCCAAGCTCCGGGCGCTGTCTGGGGTGATGCCGTCGGCCAGGATGTCGTCGTACAAATCGCAGGCGCGGCTCAGCAAGTCGCAGGTGGCGAAGACCTGCGAGGAGAGTGGCCCTTTGGAGTGTTAGTCAGTCGAGGCCGAACGCGCCGGCCTCAGAACGCGCAATGGGCCGGCCTGTTTTTTGTTTTTTTTCCCCCGAGCAGTTGCAGAGCATGGCTTTCGCGAGAAGATCTGCCATATCTGCCCAAGACCGGGTCTTCTGACCCTTCTGTCTGTAGAATAGTAAGTCGGTTTATAATCGTTAACAGAAAGCGTGAGTGTGGGGTGACAAACTGAATTCACCACAAGGTGCACATTTAATCACACCCCAACTTGACGCACAAGGCAATAAGTCGACAAAAGATAAAAAGCGCCCTCAGGACCCGCTGTGTGAAAAGCTGGGACAGCATCAAGCTACTGATGAAGGAGGGCATAGCGTCCCGAATCACAAAGAACAATGACCTCAACACAGCGCTTCGAGGACTGAGTAAGTGCAAATGATACCAAGCAGCAGACGTCAAAATGAGAGCAGCATGAAGGCACACGAATCATGAAGCAAAAAAAGGTTGGACAAGAATTGTATTTACCACAAAGAGCACAACAACTGAAAAAATACACCCAGTTCACTCATAGTCATGAACAATCCTGTTGAACAGGCTTTGACGGCCTGGGGGTAAAGAATACCAAATAGTCGATCGAAACAGACAATGAACTGCTTGAAAACCGCATAAAACCTGGAATGGGACAAGCAAGAACCGGTTCCTGCATAAGCAAAGTACGAGTGGTGAATATGATTTGTTCATGGCTCCTTAGATAGTCCTGCACGAACTAAACAAAAAAGAGCTGTGAAGCTTTACTTAATAAATAAAAAGAAATAAAGAGAAAAATATCCTTGTGGGTGGTTGGTGCTTGTCAATGTCCTGCAGAGATTCCTGCAGCCGGCGTCCATGAGTGAAGCTGCAAAGTTTTTCGGAACCTGACTCTTCCCCCTGGCTTCGTTGCTGTATCTGGCCTTCATCAGTGTCTTGTAGGTGGCGAGCGTGGTCATCTTGCGATCCCGGAGGTAGCGCTGTACCACCTGGCTGACAGGGAGAGAGCAGGCTAAGGGGCAGAAGGACGCTTTCGCGGAATTGGGTTGGGGCTCGAGCAGAAAACAAAGCATCCATCGTTCCGTTCAAGATCATTCTTCGACTTCAGGCTTGATATCATGTCTTTCAGGGAGTGACACTTGGATTCGATCTTATCTGTGTGGAAAACTTTAGTTGATAATGCCACTGCATGCGGCCGTTCCCATTCCAGGTTTTTTTTTTCAAGAAGAATAGGGCCGTGATGAAGAGCCCATGCTTGGTCTACGCAATCAATGAAAATACGCTCCATTGAAACGAGGAAAACGTGTGCACGAGGGACTTGAGCTGGCCTGTGACTTTTTTGCAGATGGGTTGAATGGACCCCTTCTTACTACGAAGGAAATCGAGACCTACAAAGGCACCCGCAAAGCTTGGACAAGAAAGACCCTCGTCGCATTCGACATGGTTTCTTTGGACTGCGATGTACAAACTGATAATACGTGAAGCATTCCCTCGCTGGAGGAGAAACGTCTATCTCTTCCAACAATCCGATTCCTGTCTATGAACTGGCTTTGGCAAATCGCCTCGACGAAATTGTTCCGCATCTACCTCGACTACACATGGTGGGAACCGGCTTGAGGCGACTGCGGCCATCAAGTCGATGGTACATGTAAAACCCGCTTACGACATTCCGCACCTATGGAGGTAGTCCTGCCGGTCTGTCGGGGAAACCAGGGTTCCACTTGACGAAAATAGCCCCAAACCCAGAATTGTCTCCTTTGGGGAAAGAACCACCGGGCTTGACTCCACCGTAAGGTCATCACAAAGTGGAACATCCTATTTGGCTGTGGGTCAAAACCAATGGGATCCCATTTTGGGTGGTAGGTGAATTCACCTATTTTAGTGGTTGGATTGACTCGGATGTGCACTGGCTCTAACCCATTTGGCCGTTCAAAAAGCCCGGCCGCTTATTTCCACCCCCGGCTCCCCGCGGCGACTTCCGCGAAGGGCTTCGCCACCCGCGGCCCTCGCCTCAGCCAGGCGGATATGGTGGGCCTCCCCGCAGCGGGACAGCACCAGCCCGCAGAAGCCCTCGGAGAGGAACATCTGCCGCTCCTCCATCTCCTCATCGTGTCCCATGGGTCCCATGGGTCCCACGGGATCCATGGCTTCAACGATGCCTTCAAGGAATTTATGGCTCCGGAAAAGCGGCGGGGACAAGAAGAAAGTTTGGCTCGGGGTCCAAGAGTACCACTGGCTTTCGAGGAAAAAGCTGTGGAGCGAAAAGCGTGACTCGGATTCCAAGAGTACAATTGGCTTCTGGGAAAGATATGCATGGTTTGCGAGAGGTCAGTCTCGTGGAGCGCTTCCAAGATCCAACTCGACACGACTGCGCTTCCACTGTTGGCGAGTTGAAGGGAACCCTTCTTAAGGACTGAAGGAAAGCGACAGGGAAAAACAACCAGTTTAGGGGATGCCCCGGTAGTGAGACAAACCCGATTGCTGTGGTGCAAACGGCTTTGCTTGTACATCTCAGGCCGTGTTGGTCGCTTGCATGGACTACGCTTGGATTAACAACTCATGTTTTCCTTAATTGGGCCAGTTTGCTTGCTGCGTTGCTTTCGGGGGGCTGTGTACAGCCTCTGTGTGCTGCATGCGGTGGAATGTGTACTCATAAATGTATATACGTACGTATGTACCTACACACGCACGTGCGTGCCTGTGTGCGTGTGTGCGTGCATGCGTGCGTGCGTGCCGTGCGCTCGTGCGTACGTACGTACGTGCGTACGTACGTACGTATGTATGTATGTATGTATGTATGTATGTATGTCAGAAAGCAAGTAAGTAAGCAAGCAAGCAAGCAAGTAGGAAAGTAAGTAAGTCAGTCAGTCAGTAAGTGTATGTACGGGTGCATGTATGTGTGTATGTGTATAGATATGTATATACATATATGCCTGCGTGCGTATGCGTAGTGAAGAGGACCTGGGACTTGGGACCCACATGAGTGCAGTCCTGGTGTCGTGCGCAAGCCGGTGCCCAATGTCTTGTCGCAGCTAAACTCTACAAAACTCTGAACATCGGCGCTCACTCAGATCCCTACCTGCACTAGGCGCTTCGTGGGTCCCTGGGTGTGTGACAACTGTTTGTCTGTTCCTTCCTTTCTTTCCTTTCTTCCTTGTTTCTTTGTTCCCTCCCTTCTCTTGTTAAATGCACGGCATGAATGACAACGGGTTAAGTCTGTGTCTGACTGTCAGTCTGGTCTGGTCTGGTCTGCTCTGGTCTGGCATGTATGTACGCACGTATGCCATATGCAAGTCATCCTGGGTGTACAGTTTGGCTTACGAGGAAACTTGGAGAGCATGGAGAACAACTACGTTAGGCATATTGAAGAGAATGAAACACAGGTAAAGGGCACTATTCTCCCGGGTACAGTGTCAAGGTTGAAGGCGGACAACTGTCTACGCCAGTCATACTGATGCTAGTGGGGATTGGAATGTTCACTGGGGGTACGGGGTTCTGACCCATGGCCATATGCATACACACATGGTACATTACGCCTCCGCCCGCTTCCGGTCCTTCAACAAGCCGATGGCGGCCTCCTCGTCGTGCTTGGCCGCCAGCTTCAGCAGAGGCTCCAGCACCGGGAAGGGCACCTCGCCCATCGATCCATCCCAACGGGGCGGGCGGATTTGGCGGGTTTTGGATTTGCTCGGACGAGAAACACGAAAAACGCCCATGGCTACATGGGGGTGTTTGGAATGTTCCGATCAACCTGAGGGAGTTTCAAAACCGTTTTTGGTTTGGGGAAACAAAAAAAATGTGTTCCCGCTGGCGCAACAGGGGAAACCGAAAGTTGCAGAACAACCAGCCATTTCAAGGGGACCGATGTTGAGAAACGTGTGCAACAAGGGAAACCAAAAGTTGGAGTCAAACCTGCCATTTCAGAAACGGGGCTGTGTCCTGTTGGCTGGTTGGGAACTGATGACTTGGCCAAAGGATTGGTGTCTGATTTTCAGACTGAGCAAACCCCAAGCGATTTCCGCGCCTGCCCCTGCTGACGGAGACGTTGTAATACCAGGCACCTTGGAGCAACCGACCAGAATTCAAATCCTTTGGTGTTCCTTTCAACCCACACAACATGCACCCTCAACTTCCCGGCTCTCAGCAGTGAATGAGGGAATGGCCCCAATAACCCATCCCCTGTGGCTTCCTTTAAGCGAATCTGTGTCCGGTTCATTCCCATCCAGACTCGTTGCCCTACCTATCAGGCACCGCCAAGGATTTCGCCCATTTTGCTTCGACGCAGGACTGTGGGCGCTGAGGATTCCAGCGCGTTGGCATAGTCGTCGCTCTTCAGGAAGGAAGACATGGCGCCCGTCACCGCTTCCATCGGCAGGGTGACACCTGGCGGGAGAGAAAAAACACGAGCAAACGGCCTTTCTGCCCTTGGCGCAGAAACCTGCCCAAAAAAAACACGTGCGGATGAGGAACCTACCCCATGTGAAGACTGCAACGGGCACTCGCGCCGAGGTTTTTGACGCCGGAACTCGGCCTTCCAAGACCTTCAAGACCTCGGAGACGGACACGTCCTGCAAAGCTCAGGAGTCTTGTTGCTTGGCCTCGCTTTCGTTCCCTTGAAACTGATCCAAAACGAGGCCCCAGACTCCCCAGCCAGCGTTTCAAATGCTTCGTTCCAGGAAGCGCTCATTCAGAGCGCTTGCCCATGTCTCAGACGTAGGTTCTGGGCGCAGCCCGGGACTTGCGACGGTAGCCTAATCGTGCTCTCAGCACTGCCAACCGGAAGGGGTTGGGGGTGGGGTGACACAAGGCGCCAACCTAACGCGAAATTCCCCGCTCAAAGGAGGGGCCAAGGATGCAGCGCATTGAATCCGGTACCGCGCGAACCGCGAGATCCTTGCCCTTGGATCCTACGTCTTGATGGGCCAAGACGTCTTTTTTCAGGACTCGGACCGCGCAACTTCGGTTCTTCCTTTTGGATTCCCTAAAAATCAAAAAAAAAGTTCCACGGACTGAGCCCACCAAACGAAACGCGAGAGCAGACCCGGATCCTTGGCTTCCAGCATCGCGGTGACGGTGGAGCTGTGCACTGTCTCCAGCGCCAGGTCCTGCGCTCGCTGCTGAGAGGACCCCCCAAAATGGGGGGGGGGGGGGGCAGAGTGAACATCCGAGTAAAATAAATGGGTGTCCCACGGGCGGGGGGGTGGGATGCGTCATGGGGGGGGAAGGTCCTTTTGGATCACCTCCAAACATATCACTCCCAAGAAGGGAGCCACCCAAAAAAGACATGCCCAAAAGGAATGAAGACCCCTTCCACCCGGTTCGTTCCGAATCAACACCCGGAAAAGGTCATTCCGTCATTCCCTACCCATCGCACCAGCATGTTTTCCAGGTGTCAGATACGTTATCTCCCACAACTTGGGATGGAAGACGGATGGGGTGTAGAAGGTTTGGTGAATGGGACTGGGGCTCACCTCCTGTTCTTACCCAAATTGAATGGATTTGCAAACGGAGCTCCTGTCCTTCTTTTCATTGAAACGGAAAATACCCGTTCCCACTTTTGGACCTCACTGTTGAGGGTTACAAAGTCCACACGCAAGTCAACCAGTATTCGTAGGTGTCACTCGTGTTGCCCAGAGAATTGCGTATCGAGCTTCAGCACAAGACAGACCAAGAAATTATCTTTTCCTACAAGGCACTCACATCCCTCAGCTGCATGCTCTATCGGGGCATGCCCGTGCTCGGGCCGTCCCACAACCCCAAACCCTGAGCAAACCTCCAAGCGCTTTCAAAAAACAAGGCTGAAGCAACCCAACCCAACCCAACTCCCAAGCCCAACCCCCTTCCCCTCCAACCTGACGCAACCCCCAACCAACCAACCAACCAACCAACCAACCAACCAACCAACCAACCAACCAACCAACCAACCAACCAACCAACCAACCAAACTGATGGACCAACCAACCAACCAACCAAACTGATGGACCAACCAACCAACCAACCAAACTGATGGACCAACCAACCAACCAACCAACCAACCAACCAACCAACCAACCAACCAACCAACCAACCAACCAACCAACCAACCAACCAACCAACCAACCAACCAACCAACCAACCAACCAACCAACCAACCAACCAACCAACCAACCAACCAAACCAACCAACCAACCAACCAACCAACCAACCAACCAACCAACCAACCAACCAACCAACCAACCAACCAACCAACCAACCAACCAACCAACCAACCAACCAACCAACCAACCAACCAACCAACCAACCAACCAACCAACCAACCAACCAACCAACCAACCAACCAACCAACCAACCAACCAACCAACCAACCAACCAACCAACCAACCAAGTAGGCCACCGACCCCCAAGCGGAGCACCGGTCCTTCAGCAGCTTCAGCGCCTCCGACACTTCACCGCGCGCCAGCAGCTGCCGTGTCGCCGCGTTGGCCGCGAAGGTTCGCGCGTCGCCTCCGAGGGTTTGCAGCAGGCGCCTCAGGGGCGCCAGTTGGAGCCTGGCAGGCGCTTCACCAAGTTGAACCCAACGGGCGGTTGGGCTATTCCCCTCAACTTGTTTCGGTCTCCTCTCAGGCTTACCATTTGAATGGGACGGTCTGTTCCAGGGTGCCCTTTTGGGACGGTTCAACCAAAACCAGGAGGAGACCAGTCAAGCACCACAAAACCTGCCAACTCCTTTCGCAACCACGAAGGACTACCCTGTCCCAGCATGGAAGCTGGTGAAAGAAGGAAAATGAACTTCTAAGACCCTCAAGTCAGCTGTGTGTAGGGCCAGGGCCCCCCGTCAAGCGTTTCTGCGCTGCTCAACGCGGGGCGGGGCTGCTCAACCAGTCTTCCCGGGAGCTGGCGCAAAAAATTGCCTCGAAACCCACGAAAAGGATCAGGAACTTTACATGGTGACTAGAGTGCCTGCCAGGGGTGGGTGGTCAAACATGAGGGCCATTTGTGTTTTTTGTCTTTGAGTATGTGGCGCCTCAAGTTTGAACAGGGAAACTGACTTCTCATGCTCTTTTCCTCGACAAAGAGAGGTTACGCCGCAAATGAAGAATCAAGAATGGGATTATTGATCCGGAGTTTGCATTGTGCGCTCTTGGATGTGTGATAGTATGTGTTCCTTACAGTACCCGCACACAGTTCTGTGTGCATGCTCCAGTGAAGCTTGAGTGCTTGTTGCCGCTCAACATCTCGAGAAAACATGGAATGCAAGAGATCCAGCTTGGGGACCAGAGCGGCACCGCTGGCGTCCTCTTTGCTCCCCACACCTTCCCCTCGCCGGCCCCCGACCAACCCCAGCCGCTACGCCTGGCGGCGAAGGTGCCGGCAATCAGCTCCCACACCTTGGTCGCCACGGCCGAGCCCTGCTTCTCGGCCTGCAGGACCAGCACAAACTCCTGCGAGGAGCTCGTAAAACGCAGCCCGGGCTCGTCCGCCGAGCTGAATCATATACAGGTGTCACAAAGATATCACAACGATGCGCGGTGCAGGAGAGCAAATATGTGCCATGGTTCTTTTCTTCACTCACCTGATCACTCCTCTCCCCATCTCTCCCTGCGCAGTCCAGAACTCAACATGGCTTGGCTCAAAATTAAACAGAGCTGGAGTTACGTGCACACGTTCATCTTTGTTTCCACATGGGTGTGGATCAAAATTCAGACACCAGGGGACCGCGGATTTTGGTCCATTCCATTTGCCAGGGCAACCCAATTTTCTAGGGGTACCTTCCCCATTCTTCTTCAGGAAACCATCCAAAAACCCGGGGTTTTTGAAAAGAACGATGGTTGAAAAGAATGGAAAAGGAATCAACCCCTAGAATGTTTCGGAAATTACCCCGTTTTTCACCCACAGCCACAAACCCCAAGGTGCCATGTTGAAAGGACAAGGCCCGGCCCCCAACCGGTCTCCTGGGCCAGCTCCAAGTGCCCCGCCCGCAGCAGCGCCTGCACCAGGCTCTGCACCAGGGCCGGCTTCAAAGCCGTCTTGGCCAACCTCGGGGCGCTGAAACTGGGCGCTCCCTCCATTTGATGGGAAAGAAATGCGCTGAACCGGGGCGGTCCATCGAGGAGAAAAAATCGTTGGAACTGTCCAACCAAGGTCACTGTTGGTGACTGACAACAGTCTATGGAGTTGCCATTCGGGAAAGAAACTCCTCCTCGCAACTCGGTCCACGTGCATTCTAGCTATCAATTATGCAAGGTCCTTGCACAATTTCACTTGCATTTTAAACACATATATACAGATACATAGAGAAGTCCATTGACATGATGGTTATTTTCTCTTACTACTCGAACTTGGAAAGCAATCCTGTTTAGAAGATGCACGTTTGCCAATAACACTGAAGCACTCACATCCCCAGCACATTTTCGAAGCTGCTGTGAATCCTCTGCACACGCTGGCGCGGCGCTTTACGCAACACCAATTTTCGCCAGACCCCCCCAAGTGCCACAGTTTCCTGGGTGGCGGTTAATTGGGTAGTAAAACGCACGCTCCCCCAATTTGACCCAGGGATGAGGCGGGTGGGTGTCAAATGCGCATGAGCACTCTTAAGCCAAAATGGCCCACGAGTGGCAACCAACTTCCCACCCAACCAACCCAAAGGGACAGCGCACAACATGTTACTGACCGGCCCTCCCTCCCCAGCACATTATCGAAGCTGCTGTGAATCCTCTGCACACGCCAGCGCGGCGCTTTGCGCCGCACCAATTTTCGCCAGCTTAACTGGGATTTAGCGCGCACCCCCCCCGATGTGCCACAGCCCCATGGGTGGCGGCCAATTGAATTAGTGAAGCATGCTCCCCCAATTTGACCCGCGTATCTGGTTACGCCACCCACTCGCTGATGTGGAGGACTCACAAGTATGCTGGGTGAGGCCGCACTTTGGGCACCACTTACGGTGTTGGTCTGGGAGTTGGGACCTATATGTCTGCGCATGAAGTTTTGAAGAGAACATCCAGCCACACACGGTCTTCCAGTTGTGTGTCCACATTACTTCAAGGAGCAGAAGTGAAGCTTGAGCAGCCCGAAACTGGTTCTGCCGCGCGCCCAGCACTTTGCCTTGCCAGCCAAAGGCCACATTGACCTGCTCTCTCAAACTTTGCATTTCTGCGGGCGCATGGTTGCCAGTCTGGTGTGATTTCGGCAGACGCAGGTTGCAACATGTCCCAACACAACCAATCTGGGCGCCACTGCTCTAGGACTGCCAAGCTTCAGCCCAAACCACCTCCACCTGCTTGGGCTTTCATCTTGTAGCCGCTGACTCTGCGGAGCTTCTTCACAATCCTCGCCTTCTGCCATGGCCCGACCGAATCTCCTCGCGCCTCCTTCATAGCCCTCTTCCATCTCCATGAGCGCCTAGCCCCTGGGCATGCTCATCATTGATGTCAGAGATGCATTTTGGCTGGCACCTTCGCCCGGAAGAAAGAAAATATGTCTGCGCGAAGCTGGCTGGCAAGTTCTCTGCCTTTATGCGTACGGTGCAAGGGTCGAAAACAGCGCCGCTCACCTATGCTGCAATTCTGGCAGGGTGCAGTCAGTGCTCGCGGGTCCGCACCCGCAAAGGTGTGCAGTTGAAGATGGGCGACTTCAAGTCTACGTTGATGACCCACTTCTGATTCTCAGGGGTGATCAGCAGCGTCAACGCAGGCTGGCTGTGCTAGCTGCAGCGGCATGGCAAATCATGGGGTTTGCATTGTTGTTTGGTTGGATCGGAGCCGCCTCACGACCACTGCTGGGAAGTCAGAGCAGAAGCGCAATGTGCTCCAACGTCATCGCGCATAAGGCACTTCGAACGCTGATAAGGAAAGGCATGGCTGTGGAGACCTTTCGTACAAGAGATGTGTTTGCGCTTACTTTGGCTAAAAGCCTTCTTCTTGCAAGGTGAGCGCGCGGGGATTGTCCGCTGCTGGCTGCTGGATCATTACCTGAAAGTAGGGGTTAAGGTGGTGATGACTTGGGACGCGTCGCCTTGGGGAATGGGCGCTACGGTGCAGTTGGATGGGACATTTCTTGAGTTCTTCACAATCCCAGTTGACGCCCACGACCTTGAAGCGCTGGGCGCGCAAGGCAGTGGCAGCAAGTGCTGACAGAGGCGCTGTGTGGCTTGATCGCGCTACGCGCTTCTGGATGGGACATCGAGCAACTTTCCAAGTTACTCACTTTGCTCTCTTCGCTGAAATCCAGCTCTACCCCACTAGCCAGGATTGGCCGTGAAGTCGCCCTCGATGCAGTTGCTTGTGCCCCAGCGAGGGACCACTGTTTCCCACATCCAGAGAAACGTATTGCACCAAGCAGATTCTGGCTAAACCGGCAGGCTCACGATACAGTTGCTTGGTCGATGGCTAGCTCGGCAGTTGACGTACCTTGCAGAAGCGCCACTCACAGACTTTGCTGATAGGCTGACAAGACCATGATGCATTCAGAAGTGCGATTAAGCAATCGCTCTGACTTTGTTCTGGCATCGGATGCGCTTCAGCCAAGATGTACGCAGGTGCCTTCACAAGATGCAGCAACTAGAGCGAGATGTTGCAGATCTTGCAGAAACAGTTGACGCCAGGCTCCGCACGCGATTGCATTACACCAAAAAATATCAAGTCCTTCGTTCGACTCAAGGCAACAATCCGTTTTGCGCAAAAAATGTCAAGCACCATCAGGCAACTCCTCTACAAACACAAAGTCTGACACCAAAACATGACACACTCCAATCTCCTAGAAAGCACCTGCGAAGCGAAAAGTAAAACCTTGAACCCCGGATGCCAGCTCGGCTGAAATCAACGAGAGACCTGTAGACCTCGTTCACAACCCACCAAACTTCAAGCGGCTGCCTGCCCTCAACGACCGACGCCCTCCGTCTGCCTCCGGGCTGACGCTGACATGTTTTAAGTTTGTCCTGGGCGCGTCCTCTCGAAGGTTAAGCCGAAAAGGACCTTTGACGCCGCGGTGGGAACTTCGGGTAATCGAGCGCGCGGGCTTCGATGAGGCGATCATGCAGTGCCAGTTGAAGGACATCCTGCCCAAAAAGTACAACGACAACGCCGGGCATGTGACCGCTCCAGAGCTGTCGGAATGCATGGCACGTCGGCAGTATTCATACACCGCGTTTTGCCAGCAAAGCACCAGCATGCATATGTCATATGTGGTGTTCTGGGCGTGGTTCTTCCAAAGTGCCAGCCACCCCCCCGATATTTTTTAATCAGCCTCCTCCAGCGTCCCTTCTTACCTCATCGCAGACCATCCAGATAGAGCGCACAAAGTTCGACCCCTGAACTTAGAACTCCCGCTCGGCTTGTAGGAGGGAGGCTGGGAAGTTGCCGAAGCCAGTCCCGAACACGGCCCGCGTATGGTCTACCAACCACGATGCGCATGATGTCGGGTTGTCTCACTATGACAAGCGCACTGGTCGAGCAATACTTTGAGCCAATGTGGACATGAGGACAGAGAGCCCTAGTAGAATCCACACATAGCACCCAGCGAACCCCGCGAAACCCACGGACCCCGCGGACCCCGCGAGCGCCGCCAGCCCCGCAAACCCCGCCAGCCCCGCGCGAGCCCCGCGAACCCCGCGAGCCCCGTATGCCGCGCGAGCCCCGCAAACCCCGCAAGCGAACCCCGCAAACCCCGCGAGCCCCACGAACCCCGCGAACCCTGCAAGCCCCGCGAGCCCCGCGAACCCCGCGAACCTCGGCTCGCGGGGCTCGCGACCCTCGCAAACTCCGCGAACCCTGCGTGCCCCGCGAGCCCCGCAAACCCCGCGAGCCCCGTGAACCCCGCGAGCCCGGCAAACCCCGCCAGCCCCGCCAGCCCCGCAAACCCGGCGAGCCCCTTAAGCCCCACGAGCCCCGCGAACCCCGCGAACCCCGCGAGCCCCGACGAACCCCGCGAACCCCGCGACGAACCCCACGAACCCCGCGAACTCCGCGAGCCCCGCGAGCCCCGCGAGCCCCGTGAACCCCGCGAACCTTGCGAACCCCGGGAACCCAGCGAACCCCGCGAACCCCGCGAACCCCGCGAGCCCCGCGAACCCCGTGAACTTGCAACCCAGTGCCGCCGTCACTTAGCACGGAACAGTCGAAGCCACGGGCGGGACCCCCCCCCGTACCGCGAGGTAATTTAATGACGTTCCACCAAACGTAGTCTTTGGGGAGTCGCAAAACAGAAGTCCCAGGCTCGCATCCCCCTGCCGGCTCTTGGCTGGTTTAGGTTTCCTGCCTCCTTTTGCCGAATTTCTGGAAAAACTCTGTGCTTGTTGACGTCACATCCTCTTTGCGAAAACGCTGGAAAACCCAAGTGTTTTGAGGGAGTGCAGGTGAGGAAATAGGAAGTCGACATGACAGGAAAGCAAAGGGAAATGAAAGGGAAACAAAGGGGAACTGAAAGGGACACGAAAGGGACAGAAATAAAAACAAGGGGAGCGCAGGGGGAATGAAAGGGAAGCAAAGTGTAGGGAAACGATTCGCAGCAAAAGAACGGGACATACATGGAAAATGAAGCGGACATACCGAGAAAATGACAGGGACATGAAGGGGGAGTTGAAAGGAATGCCAGGCACATGACCAGGACATCATGGGAAACACGAAAAGGACATGAAGGGGAAATCAAGACGAAAGCCAGTACAGTGCAGGGTCATGAAGGGGCAGTGCCCGGACATCGAGGCAACTCAGGGGGGATGTGACGCTGCAATGCAGAGAGAGAGAGAGAGACACAGAGAGCGAGAAAGAGGGAGAGAGAGAGAGACAGAGACAGAGCCAGAGTCAGAGAAAGAGACAGAGAGAGTGAGAGAGAGATAGACTAGGTCCTCCACTATAGAGGTTCGAACAAGGGTACCTTTGTTTTTGTACAGGGGCGTGGACAGGAAGGAGACAGGGAGACAGAAAGAGACAGAAAGAGACAGAAAGAGACAGAAAGAGACAGAGAAACAGAGAGAGAGAGAGAGAGAGAGAGAGAGAGAGAGAGAGAGAGAGAGAGAGAGAGAGAGAGCGAGAGAGAGACAGAGAGAGCGATAGAGAGGGAGATTGAGGAGAGAGAGAGGCTTGGGGGGATGGGGAGGATGGGGAGCCGAGGGAGGGAGAGAGGACGACAGAACACACGGGAGAGGAGACAAGAGAGAGAGAGAGAGAGAGGAAGAAGGAGAAAAGGGCGAGGACAATGTCGGCGGACTGAGCCGGAGGCTCTAAAGTTCGCAGGCTGAGTGGACTGGAACGCGCTGGAATGGAATGTATTGCAATGGAATGAAATGCAGTGCGGAGTGGAATGGAACGCAATGGAATGGAATGCAATGGAATGAAATGGGGCGTATGCATTGTTATACACAATCGGATGCTGTGATCCGACGCCATGGAACAATAGCGCATTGTGCCAAGGAATTACTGTATTCTACATGTGAAGCCGAGTTGCAAACATGCAGGCTAGACTGAACACGGCATGACCGTTCAAACTTGGACTTCCTTTTCGAATGCTTCTTCTGCACTCAACATGCGCTGCGTCAAACCAGAGCTTCTTCACTGCTATGTCCCGACCATGTTCTCTCCTCACAGGAAGCTCGAACCAAAAGCCCCTAATGAATGCAGAAGTCAGAACAGGGCCGTAGAGCTGCCGATGTTGAGCCCATCTCAACCCAAGCGACGAGACTGCCAGCTCTCCAATGTTCTCCGGCTCTTCCGCCGCCAGAGCCAGGGCCACTGCCTTCAAATGAAAAAGTCTGGGGCCTGCGGGGAACAAAGCAAAGTGGTGCGAAGTCTGCAAGAGCCAAGGGAGTCTGCAAGTCCGCAAATCTGTCAGAGTCCCCAAGTCTGCGAGTGTGTGGCAGAGTCAGCAAAGGTCTGGCAAGAAGGGAGCTTGTTGAGAACCTGTGATAAGAACCACCCTTTATTTTTCAGAAACCACTTCTGACCAGGATAGATCCAGTCTCGCGACTGTCAACCGGCCCAATGTGGACAATTGAACACATCATGGAAGGCTTCTTGCAGTAGCACACAGGTAACTCTTGCATGTGGCCAAACCCAAATTCAGAGCTTGGCCTGAGGGAAAAGGGAAGGGGCCATTCTGCTATAGGCAGGCAGAACTTAGATCCAGCCATCAACTTGCGCCCCTTCCTTTGGCACCTCAACCAAAACAAATGGCCGCCTCTGTCATCTCCGTTTGGCACGTCGGTTCAACAACCTTGGCGCCTCTTGTCATGTTCAACCCACACGGCTCGCTCGCACTCTACTCAACTGCAACTTGAAAGAAAAGCTTGACTAAAACAATTAAATTTACATATCTCTGGCATCAGCTTTAAGATTCACATACTTGTCCTAAAATGAAACACTCCGGACTAAACTCTGTCCGAACCGGCCGCCGCCCGAACCCCACCGCCCGCCACCGCCCGGCGCCTCCAGGGCCTGGGGCTGCAGAGCGCCTCCGCCGCGCCACAAGCCCAGCACCGCCGCGTGGTCCTTGGACTCGCCGGCCTCCACCACCTTCGCGGAGTCCGGGCACCGCGGCAGCCGCGCCTTGCCTCGGAGTCTCGGAGTCTCGGGGTCCGGCCGGGAAGAAAACGAAGGAAGCGGGAGGCGTGAGCAGGTGAGGTGGGGCGGGTGTCCCCTAAAATGGACCCTGAAAACGTGGGCTGGTTTTGCAACTGCTTTTCTTTTAAAGCAACCCAAAAAGGGTGCCATCCAAAAACGACGCACATTCATAGATCAGAATTGCCCCCAAAGGTGATGCGCAAATAGTGGTTCTCCAAATAGTCGTCCGCCAAGATGGTTGGTTTCGCGTTGGTTTCCCTTCAAATTTGAGAAACACTCAAATCTCGTGAAACGGAAATGTTAGGATCTTCATGCAGGCTGGCAGGTGGGTAGGTGGAATAGGTAGAACAGGACGTGTAGATCCCAGTTGAGTTTTGTGCTTTCAGGATCGTGTGCATTTTCTTTCGGAGCTGGCAAGGACAAAGGGCGAGCAAGACTCCTCAAAACGCATTGATGCAACTCAACTCTATTTACCATATTTCACGGATACACCCTCCATGGGGTTCACGGCCAACTCTGGGGTCCTCCCCTTCCCCCCTTCCCCCCTTCCCCCCCTTCCCGCCTTGCCCCCTTCCCCCCTTCCCCTTCCGGTTGGGCCAGGGCGCTGGGGCTGGTGGGGCTGCTGGGGCTGTTGGTTGCCAGCCACTTCACCTCCAGCTTGCGGGGCAGCAGGTTGCAGCGCAGCGCCAGGCGAAAGAGGAGGAAGCCCGCGGCGAACCACAGCGCCTCGTTGAGGCAGGACCTGAGGCGAGGCGCACGGCTGAAGCGCGTCCAAGCTCGGCTTCCCAGGTGAGAAGGGCAGTTCGGCACCTCATGTGTGGAGAAAGGGAACTTTCATAGGAAAACAACGCTGGAAAGTGGCTGGTGGACACAGACCAAAATGATGGGCCCCTTATTGAAATTCAGTATCCCTTACTTGTGCTTGAAGAGATCAAGGGCGCCGTCCCAAGCTCCTGTCTTGTCGCCCCCCGTTAACAGCACCCATTGGTGGTTCGGGTTAACCCCCAACACCACCGCTGAGAGGCCCGCCAAATCATGCCAGCCATGGAGAGATCAGCTTCCACGTCGACCGTCATAGATATCGCTGTTGGCTTTATCGCTTTTGAACCTGAGTCAACCGCACAAGGAGCAAGCGATGCTGAGGCCGAGCAACGAACCAGACTTGGGCCACCGGCTATGAGAATGGGGGTTCAGGACCGTTGGGGTGAGGACCTCGGCGCAAGAACTCGAGAAGCGCGACTCCACCTCCACCCCCCCGACTCGTCGCCCGGACTGACGTCGACCAAAGCGCCCGGCGAGTCGCTGAATCAAGCAGAACGCAGAGTCAGCTGGAGCCGTGGCGACAAGACGCGAATGTTCAACAGTCGCTCGTGCCGCGGCCGATACGAATCTAGCACCTTGGACATTCAACAGTGCATTATTGATACTCTACGATATATATATATATAATGTATTCACCCCAGCCAACAAGGGATGACAACAATCACCAATGATGGCAGCTGTGGATTAGCAAATACCACCAAAGCTGACATCTTGCATTCTTCTTTGGTGTTGGTGGTCCGCGGACGAAAAGGAAAATTGCCGAATGCTGCTGCAAACCCAGAGTGAACCCACATGCTCCATCTTCGTTGTCCTGATATCAACGGGGCCAAGAAGCGATATGTATGAATCTCTGAATCTGGCAGTTTGCAGCTGTAAAACTCGCTTGCCGTTTGGCAGGCTTGCAATGTGTAGCCGCTTTGGCTATTTCGAGTGCTTGCAACTGCTCCTTGAGCATGAGCAACTCCTATGTGACCCGCCCGCCCCTCCGGCGCTGCATTACTCACTCATCCTTCGCCTCAAACACCTGAGTCGAAGAAGGGAAGCACTTGAAGAGGCTGCGACCGGAGTTGAAATGATACTCAACCCAAAATCGATTACCCGGAACGATGTACCCCTAAGAAGGGTGTGCCTGTCAGGATATACCGCGATATGCCCCTTGGGTGCAACGCAATTTACCGTGCAACCATACCCCGTTTTCGCTGCATACCAACTACATGTAGATCATATGCTTTGGAGCCGGCAGGGGTACACATGGGTCTGTCTCAAAAATGGGCCACCAAGGGGTCCCAAATATTGAAAATCACCCACATCTTGCACCTGATTTGGGTGCGGATTCATTTCCAACAGCCACTCTGCCGAGCTGAGTTGTTGCGATCGGGGAAATCCCCGGGTCCACGCGTCCAATCTGAAAAGATTCTAGGGTCCAAGATGAAGAACTTTCGGTGCCAACCAGGTCTTGTTGCCACCTTTTGTGAGAAAATCGGCGACCCTCTCAAAAAGGAAGCCTTCACTACGAGGTCGAACAATCAACTCTGAAAACCGGGGGTCGAAGAATTTTCTCACAAAGGTGGCAAAAAGACCCCCCTGGTGCCAACTCCGGATTCCCGGCCGCAAGTTTTCCCGACGCAACCCATCCCCAAGGCTTCCTTCAGGCCCCCGAGCCCCCGGCCCCCGCCAAGGCCCGCCGCGCCCGCGCCATGCCCTGCAGCTCCGAGATGTGCGCCGCCAGCGCCTGCGAAAGCCACGGATGGAAAGCCCAGGGTCAAAACGGGGGGAGCTGGCCTCATGATTTTACCATGATCAAAGTCACTCCCTAAGTGTTTACTGACTTTGATAACCCCAAAAACAAACATCAAAATAGCGAATTGAGAGGAAGCCACTAAGCCAAAAAAAACGAAGCACCTGGAATGGGCAATGAGTCAATGAAGTCAATGCTCATTTGGCAAAGTTGTTCAAGCGTCACAAACAGCCAACAGCCGCTTGGTCCGCCTGCAAGCGCCGCGTCAGGCCCCACTCTGGGTTCGTGAAGAGTTCTACACGCCTGAGCTGCACGGAATCCATTCCTGCTAAGTTGTATTAAAATGCCCCACCAGCTGGATGCGTCTCAAATCAGGGCAACCCCTAGAATGGGTAGAGTCCACTTCTTTGCCTTTAACTCGCCAAACAGGCTGCCGAGCCGTGCTACCATTGTGATCCATGGCCGCTGGAACGTTTCGTGCAGTCGCCGAGGCGCATCTCCATCGATGCCTGACTCAGCGCCGCGTAGAGGACCGAAACAGCCTCAGTGACCTCAGCCGGCAGATCCTCCATCACCAGAGCAAATGTCTCTGAGGAATGGCATCAAATCAGAAGGAACCCCTACCAGGGCCAATGTTTCTCTGGAAGGTACAAGTCGACAGCAATCATCAAAAACCCGTGGCAAACAATGACCTCAAACTGACGCAAACATAGAACATGTTTCTCGTCAGGCGTGAACCAGTTCTGCGTCCACGGCGCCGCTACATCCGACGCGGCCCCTGCCATCATCGGAGACGTGCAAATCGGCACATCTGGCGGCAACGCAAATCCAAGTGGGCCGATGCGCCAAATGAAGACAACCAAATAGTGGGTGCTGCCAAAAGTCAAATCGGCTCAAATATTGCTCGCTTTGCCAGCCAACTTGAAGGAATCTATCCGACAAGCTTGTTTTCCGCGGGCGTAAACTATTCCGCCACCCCGGCCAAAGCACTCTTGCAAACAATCAAGCAACCACATACAGCACGTGATTGAAACACATTGGGCAACGTCTCTTGCAAGGTCTTTGTCAAAATGAAGACCAAGCGAGCGTCAAATCAGCAGCATTTCTCAGCACACTTCCGATATCCATTGTATGCCAGTTACGCAGATCGACTTTTGATAAACCCAAACCAAAAACCCAAACCAAAGTTGAGCCAAGATTTCGGGTTGGCCTCTTGATTCCTTGGGTCTCCCCCAAACAAAAAACCGTGCAAGAGCTTCCCAAAAGCTCGAAGCGCCGCGCAGCCCCGCCTCGCAGCTGCCGCCTCGAGTCCCGCCGCAAGTTCCGCCACCGCGCCGCGAGCTGCGAGAGGTCCCCCTCTTCCGTCTCGTGGGTCCAGAGCTCCGGGCCCTTGCCAAGAGCCAAGCAGAGAAGGGCGAAATCCCAGTGAGCCGGGACCAACACGTAGGTTGCCAGCGGAATTCATGGCCAACCATTTCGTGCAGCATCAGGCAACTGAAGGAAACAAGCGGATCAAGACCATCAACTGATGGTCTAACACCAACGTAAGAAACAAAGCATGGATGACTCATTCAAAAAGAAACCGCACACTCCAACAAAACAAAGGGTTTGGACTCACAATCTGCCTCCGACCTCGCTCCCGCCGTCAGGAAGAGCCGCGCATCCCTGTTAAACTCACCAACTGCCGCAAGTGGGAAAACGCCTGTGGCGGTAAGAAAGCTGAAAACTAGCAAAGCCGAGACCAGAGTAGCAAGGGAAGACATGAAAACGGAGACTCTTAACAAGAGAGTCACGCTTGACAAAAAAGAAGTTTGAGTGAGTCCGTTGGTTGGAAATGTCGTGAGTCCAGGCCGGCCACTTCGACCAAACCTCACGCACACGCGTACCAAAATCAAAACTACCGAAAGGTCCAGAACTGAAATAGTTTTGAGTGTGGCATCAAAATGCTGACTGAGGAAGCACCATCGCACTCAACAAACGACAAACAACAAGCAACAAGCAACCAGCAGCCAACAACCAACACCCACACCCACACACGCAAAAACCACCACCACCACCACCACCACCACCACCACCACAACCCAACAACAACAACAACAACAACAACAACAACAACAACAACAACCAACAACAACCAACAACAACCAACAACAACCAACAACAACCAACAACAACCAACAACAACCAACAACAACAACAACAACAACAACAACAACAACAACAACAACAACAACAACAACAACAACAACAACAACAACAACAACAACAACAACAACAACAACAACAACAACAACAACAACAACAACAACAACAACAACAACAACAACAACAACAACAACAACAACAACAACAACAACAACAAGAACAACAAACAAACAAACAAACAAACAAACAAACAAACAATCAATCAATCAAACAAACAAACAAATAAACAACAAACAACAACAACAACAA